AGAAAGGTTTGGGTCAATCCTTAGGGTTTGGGGTTGGGGAGGTGGAGCTGTGAGGTTGGGAGAGGAAGGGCACAAAGGAGAGGGCTGGCTGACGTCTGCCAGTAAGCACAGCTGGCTCCGAGGCACCCCAGCATGGCCCAGGTCTGTGTCACCCTGTCTGGAGTCCCCAGACTTGCGGGGGGTCCCTACCCAGGCCCTGACAGTCTCATGGCCTCACCAGTCCACTGCTGATCCTCGGTGTCCTTGCAGAGCCCTCACTCCAGAGTGCTCCTCCCAGCGCCAGGCTCCGAGCTCAGGCCCACATCCCTGTCCCTCCCTCCAACAGACCTCCTGTTGCCTCCACCAGGTGTCCCTTGGTCACCGGCATGTGCACCTCGAAGGCAGCCTACACCGGCTGCATACCACACTGTGCTGGCTGCTTTGGCTTCCATTTTCTCATGCTATCATCAGTCCCCTCTGAATGCTCTTGACACAGAATCTAGGCTACAAAGCAGGTTCTAGGATTATTTCTATTTTACAGATGAGGAAACCGAGACTCAGAGTACGTTCGGTCACTCGCTCAATGATACTCCCCAGGGAGTTCAGTAGCTTTCAATCCCACCTTCTTTCCTCTATACCATGCAACCTGATAGGAGTCTTTGGGAAGGACAGCAAGCACAGCGACTCTCTCCTGATCCTCTTATCCCAGAGCTCACAGGACCCTGCTGCGGGGAGTCACATACATACGTACCTCTGGCCCCCCCTCTGTGCCGAGTCAGTGGCTCTACTCAGCTCAGCCTGGCCAGTGGTCATCTGAGTCCCCAGAACTGCTGCCCATCTGGTCACCCAGACGGTGCTCAGCCCAGCGACCCCAAGATCAGCCACCCGAAGGGAGTCGTGCTGGGGGCTCACCTGCTCACTGCAGAGGGTTCTAAATCTGCAGCTCAGGTAACTGGAAAACAAGTGACTGGTATTGCCACCCCAGGGTTGCTAGGGCAACTGCCTGCCAAATCCGGGTGCTAGGCTGGGTTGGACTCTGCCCACCATCCGTAAAACCACATTAACCAGGAGGCTTAGAGGACGAGGCATTCTGATTGACTGGTTTCACTGGATATCTTAAAGGTAACTTGCAAAGTCTTTCTATAAGATCCAACTTGGATAGCAAAAAATGAGAAAGACTGAAAGGTCCAGCACTAACATACCTAATCTTGGGTGGTTTCTTTAATGGAAAACTATGAAATCATTCCAAATGTTAGAGAAGAACATTCAATGCCTGGAGAAATGGTTATAAGTTATTAAGTGACATGTTTCAGAACACTAGACAGAATAAGCCCCTATCTGTAAAAAAAAAAAAAAATTATTTACTGCTTATATATATAATAAAATGAGAAGACACTAAAATGCTCACTCTGCTCTGTATCTTTGAGTGTCGATATAACAAATGAAGATTTTTTCTTCCTTTTTTTTTTTAAAATTTTATTTATTTATTTGACCCAGAGAGAGAGAGATCACAAGTAGGCAGAGAGGCAGGTGGGTGGGGGGAGGGGAAAGCAGGCTCCCTGCTGAGCAGAGAGCCCAAAGCAGGACTCAATCCCAGGACCCTGAGATCATGACCTGAGCCAAAGGCAGAGGCTTTAACCCACTGAGCCACCCAGGCGCCCTTCTTCCTTTCTTTGAAAAGATGGTATATTTATATGGTTCAGATTCAGAAAGTTACAAAAATATCTCCTAGTACCCAGCATCTCTGTCTCCCAGGCACCCAGTCTCTCGTGTAGGCAACTTGCTATTTCCTGTGTATCTTTCCAGAGATATTTTATGCTCATAAAGCTTTCCCTTCCCATTTATGCAAAAGAGCATATTCTATCTACGCCGTATTCTGTACCTTGCTGCCTACCCTCGATATAGCTCAGTGATAATTCCTTACAACTATATAAAGAGCTTTTTTTTTTTTTTTTAAGATTTATTTGACAAACAGAGAGAGCACAAGCAGGGGGAGCAGCAGGCGAAGGGAGAAGGAGAAGCAGGCTCCCCGCTGAGCAGAGAGCCCTCCTGGGGTGCGGTTCGATCCCCGGACCCTGGGATCATTACCCGACCTAAAGGCAGACACTTAACCGATTGAGCCACCCATTTGCCCCTATAAAGAGCTTTTTTATTCCGTTCCCCCCCCCAAAATCTAGTATTCCATTATACGGATGTATCTAAATTTATATAACCCATCCCTTACTGATCGATCTTGGAGTGGGTAGACTGTGGTAAGTTGAAATGTGTCCCCCCAAAAGATATATTCAAGTCCCAACCCCCAATACCTATGAAAGTGACCTTATTTGGAAATAGGGCCTTTGCAGATGTAATTAAGGATTTTGAGATAGAATCATCCTGGATTTTTTTTTTTTAAGATTTTATGTATTATTTATTTGACAGAGAGGGAGAGCGCACGAGACAGAGTGCGCAAGCGGGGGGGCCAGTGGCAGGCAGAGGGAGGAGAAGCAGGCTCCCCACAGAGCAGGGGAAGCATGATGTGGGACTTGAACCCAGGACCCTGGGATCATGACCTGAGCCAAAGGCAGTCGCTTAACCAGCTGAGCCACCCAGGCGCCCAAGTTTTCTGGGGTTCAAGGTCCACCTAAATCCAGGGGTGGGCCCTAAATCCAGTGCAGGGTGTCCTCAGAGATGGGCTCCTGTTCCTACAAAGCAAGGAATGATTTGGGATGATCGCTAATATCCTCTGTGGTTTTGTTTTTGTACCTGAGTTACCTCTGTAATCCGGAAGAAGACATTAAAGTATCTGTCTACGTTCAAGCTGCAGTAAGGAAAAACTTGTCTTCTCCCCATTCTGGTCCATTCTGCCCACAGAGCATAGCACCCTCCTATCACCGTCTGCTCAGAGAAATCAACACCTACTATGTGCCGTGAGGCATGGAGGGGCTTCTAATCACCTAGGAGGCAAGGCCCCACCCTTGACCTGTCATTTGACACCTGCCATGTTTTGGCTTTCTTGATCTACTAGAAGAATGGGAACTCCCACAGATTAACCCGGTCTTCCAAGCCCGCCCCGGAGGCAGCACTGGTTGGATCCGTCTGATTAGAAGCATGGATGCTGGAGCCAGACGCCTGGGTTCTGATCCCAGCTCTGCCACTCAGCAGCCATGTGACTTCGGGCAAACTACCTCATCTCACTGCTTCAGTCTTGTCGTTTGTAAAACAGGCGAGTACCTACCTCGGAGGGCGGATGTGATGGCAAAACGAGTTTTAGGCCAAGTGCATGGAACAGTGCCTAGCACGGGGTAAGCATCATCGAGCCATCGCTGCTGGCAACATAAAGGGGGAGAGGAAGCCCAAAGGAGCATGGGAAGTGAGCTGCCAAGGCCACAGAGGCCTCAGATCTGTCCAGATGCTTTTCTCCGAGACTCCCACTTCAAACATGTTTTGCTCACTTCTTGTCTTAGTGATCTATTGTCTAATGGGATTCCCACAAATGCAGCAGTTCAAAACATTTCCTGGCTGTTTCTCTGGGTCAGGTGTCTGGGCACAGCTGCGGTCAAGGCTGGCCGGGGCATGAGGCTCATCTGAACAACCAGCTGGGCAAGGACCGGCTTCCAGGCTCCCACGGTTTGGTCAGGGCTCCCTTCCTTGCAGACTGCTGGACCAGGGGCTGTGGTCTCATGCTGGCTGTCAGCCTGAGGCTGCCCTAGCTCCTCGCCTCTTTGACCCTCCAACCGGGGCGGCACACACAGAGCAGCTTGTTTCTCCAAAGCCAGTAACAGAGGTCTCTCTCTGGACAGATGTCCTGACAGCAGGACAGATGTGATGTTCTGTAACGTGATCATGGAAGCCACATTTTGTCCTCTTTGCTTTATTGTGTTGCTTAGAAGTCACGGGTCTGGCCTGCGCTAGAAGATTCCTGGAGATGGGCACACCTGGTAGTGGCAATTGTGGGAGCCACGCTCATCTGGGAGGGTATTCAAATCCCCCTGCTCTGTAGACCGCAGCCCAGGCCCCGTGTCCCCCCACCCCACCCCACCCACTTGGAAGCTCCAGTCAGGTGTCTGAAGAGTGGGGATTGGTTTGCAGTGGGGATTTTCCTGGGGACCCTGGTAGGTTTTTCCCAGCCAGGCTTCCAGTTGGTGATGGAGAACACCAAACTGTTTTTACCCGCCCACCAACCCCTCATGGATGTGTCAAGGTGTTTTTCCAGTTAGACCCTTGATGGCTGCTTCACCAGCCGCCTCACCACCCCCATTAGGAGTAACGGTTTTCTGATTCTAGATGAGGGTAATTAAGGCCAAACTATGACACGTGGGCATGTGCTAGTGCAGCTAGGCCTCCTGGGACTGACCCCTGAGTTAAGGAAGGAGCCTAAAAGAACAGCGCCCAGACCCGAAGCCCAGGTCCAGCTCCAGAACCCGAGAGCCCACCTCCAAGGAGAGGAAATTCCACTCCAGGAAGAGTTCAAGATAAACTTCCTTTCCAGCCTCCAAGCACTCAGGAAGGAAGAAGATGGGATGTAACGGGCAAGAGACGCAAGGTATCCTACTCCAGACTCCTCTGATGCTAACTCCTTACTCTTACTCGAAGGACAGAGGACCCTTCATTCTAATCTTCTATGTCCCTCCTTACATGGTTTATTAGCCAGAACAGCTGTTTCCATAACTAACAAAAACTGCAGCTTTCTCACCGAACCCTTGAGCACGGGAAGTGCTGGGGCCTTTAGTTTTTTGCTTCCTATTTAGGGAGTGGTTTCCCCGGTGAGGTCTTCGGGGTAGGGGGAGGCAGGGCCCCCCCCCCCCGCACATTAAGCTAAAAATGTCCCGGTGCTCTTCTAGATACACCGGGGAGACGTTACTGGTTGCCTCAGAGCAACAAGACCCAATTCTCTTATTCTGCCTCATGTGACATCCTGGCACCGGACTTTAAATCTGGACACACGATCAGCAGTGGGAGGTGGCTGTGAGTCTAGCTGCGGCACCCTGGATGGCTTCGTGGCCATGCTGCCAAAAACAGGCTCATCTTTGACATACACGGACAGAAGTAAAAATATTTATTTATCTTCGGAATCTGGTCCCACAAAAAGGCCAACACTCTTTCTTTTTTTTTTTCAGTTGTGTTGACCCTTCAAAAAAATCGATCAATTAAGAGGTAAAGTTTGTTGATAAAAAGCAAATTTCGAGGTGTGCTCAGATAAAATTATTTCTCATCAACCAGTAAAACAGGCAGCCCTAGTCTCCCAGTTCACTCAGAACTCCTTCCGTCGTGCACAGTCTCTGAAGGAGAAAACAAAGTAAGAGGCTGTCTGCAGACAAGGCACTTCAGAAACCACACCAAGGAGAAAACCCAAGGCCCCCGGGAACTGCGCTGGGGGCCCGTGAACCCAGAGAGCTGTCAGTGGACAGGACGGCTGGACCGCCCACCGCCATGAGAACATTCCGGCTTTCCTGCCCGAACAGCTTCCGGCGCCTGCCTCAGCCCGCACTGCCCACGTGGCGACCCGGCAGCCAGGCCACTTAGCCAAGAAGGAACAACACTTTCTGAAGCTCAGAGCAGCTCCTACGGCGGACAGGGCGGGATGCTTTCCGAGGTCCCTGCTGGGACATCTTGCAGGAGCAGTCCCTTTTGCAAAGATGAGTTAGTGCAGATCAGCATGTTAGCAAAGCAAATAAAAAATTTTTAAAAGCTGGTTAATACTCTTGATTTCCCTCCTGATTATCTGCTCGAGGAGCAGCCTATAAACCCGCCAGAAATCAGGAAGGAATCCCCCCTCTGAAGGCACCGTGAGTGACGTGGCTACAGCCAATGAGCGTGCAGAAGACCCTCCTTCTGGCCAGTGATCACGGGACATCTGTAACCACTGAGAAGGGCCCAGCTGAGGCAGGTAGCACGCTCAAGCCCTTCTTTTGCTTTGGGGGCTTCTGTTTAATATGGGTCACGTGATGGAAGCAGCAGTCTCAGAGTCTCTCATGTCAAGAGAGGGACAGGGACAGGGATACTGGGCTTTCCTCCTCGAGTCCCAGGAAACAGTGTGACACTGTGCCCGTTTACTGCCTAACACGCCAGTCTGTCAAAGTCAGCTGAGGAGGAAAGGAGAGAGTCATGCTCCAAACAGAGGCTGGCCGGGGAGTGCTTCGTCCTCCTTCCTTTTGGCCCAGGTGACGTGGCTTCGTTCCAGAAATTGTATGAGGAAAAAGAGGGACTACACTCAGATCAGAACTGGACCCAGCCTGTACCTGGTTGAGGCTGGCTGGAAGTCGACCTGTAAAAGGAAAAAAGGGAGGGGTGGGAGAGTTCAGACGTTTGAAAATACAAAGTCAGTAAAATGAGGCTTCTCTCTGGGCAGAAAGAGCTCCAAGAGGTCAGTCCCTGAATGTTCTAGAGCAGGGGTCAGTAAACTACAGCCCAGGGACCAAATCTAGTCCTCTGTCTGTATAAATAGTTATTGGCACACAGACACGTCCACTCATTTACACGCCATCTATGGACGCTTTTGAGCTACAAAGCAAAACCAAATAGAGACCATGAGGTCTATAAAGTCTAAACGATCTGTCTTTACAGTAAACACAGGTGCTGAGTCCTGTCCTACAGCCCATCCCCATGAACAATGGTGCAGTCAGTTTTTAGCGTCTTTTCCCCTTGACTCCAAGGAAAAGCTTGACGTTTTATTGAGGCAGAGAATGCAAGTGGGCCAAGGATAGATCCAAGGTTAACCCTCAGTCCAGTGTTCCGGGAGAGCTGGGGTGGGGTTAGGGAGTGTGGAGTGGAGGAAGACGGGGAGCAGCTACTGGGGCAAGCAAAGGTGGCTGAAGACCAGAAAGAGTTACAGCGTAGCCCCAGGTCACCCAGCAGTAGAGAGCAGCAGAAACCCTTCAGGAAGCAAAGTAAGCCACCAAAGCAGGCACTCTGGGGCTCTGCCCTCTGGCTGGCCAGAAAACATCCAAGCCTGAGCTGTTGCTCCAAACGCCAGGAGAAAAGCATCTGGAACAATCCCAGGTTTCTAGGGACACAGCCCTGGCCCCAGTCCCACCACAAGAATGTGACCCTCTCCTCACCCTGTGGACTTGGTAAAGTCTCCCCAGATGTCGGTGGTGGCGGTCGTGGCAGGCCTGGGTTGCGGCCAGGATACGGCGGCCCCTCCTATTGATGTCCCCAAGTCCGCCGGCAGGGAGAGAAGGAAAGGAGACACAGGAGTCAGAGATCTCTCTTTCTGGTCTCAGTGACCCTGAAATCGGTCTCATGATTCTGGGTGGCCGAGAAAGACACAAAGAGACCCGCTCTGGGACCAAAAAAACAAACAAGCTGCCACATTTCCATCTGCTCATGAGCCCTTGAGGGCTCCTAGAGAAAGTAGAAAACCACATACACACAGGTGGAGGGAGGGTGCCAGTGAGGACAAGTCACACATCATCCGTCACTCACACTGACTCACACTGACCAAGCTGAGGTCTTCAACCGCTTATGTTGGCAATCTGTTTAAAATTCACATGCTCCCACCCTGGCTTCTTTTTTTTTTTTTTTTAAGATTTTATTTATTTATGTGACAAAGATCACAAGCAGGCAGAGAGGCAGGTAGAGAGAGAGGAAAGGAAACGGGGCTCGATCCCAGGACGCTGGGATTATGACCGGAGCCAAAGGCAGAGGCTTTAACCCACTGAGCCACCCAGGCGCCCCATCCGCCCTGGCTTGTTGAATGGAAAATGCCCACCACAGAATGCAAGGTCATCCTCACATAAAGCCCTCAGTCCAGGGTCTGGATCGACTAATTGAAAAAGTTATGCTCCAGACATGTGCCAAGTGCTGGGCCCCAAACTGGTTAGGGTTTGGAGCAAGCCTTCCAGAAGAAGTAACACAGGGCGGTCTATGTGCCCCTTCACAGAGGTTGGGGGCACACGGGGCAGCTAGGCAGGCTTCTGCACTCTTCCAGCACCGCCCTCCAGGCTGCTGTCCCTGCTGGGGGCTCTGTGCCCTCCTCCCTCCACCCTCCTACCAATTTGCTATTTCTAATCTGCTCTGGGCAGGGAGACCAGATAACAGCAGGGCCCTCGAGGACTGAGTTTTACAGCTCACCAAATGCCTGCCAAGTGCTTGTAGCGAATTGTCCCATTCAGACCCATCACAGTCCCTGGGGGAAGACAGGCCAGGACCAACTGGGTGACTCAATGCACATCCCTCAAGTCCTTCCTTATCTCATGCGGGGGTGAGGGACGGTAACAGTGACTACTTCACAGAACCAGCCCGGGCTGCAGCAGTTAATACAGTGGCAAGCTTGGAGAAGGCCCAGCACGTGGTGGTGATAACGACCACATCAGTGGGACGAGACCTAATGAACACAAGCACTTAGTGTTTTAGGTATCGTTCGCAAGTGATACACACGGATTAGCTCACTGAACCCTCACAAGAAACCCACACTGTAGGTTATCATGACCCCCCTCAGCTTAGAGATCAGAAAACCAAGGCCCAGAGAAGCAGGCAATCAATCTTCTATCACACAATGGATAATCCAGACAGAACTCAGCCAGTCTGGTTTTAGAGGATATACTAAATGTTCAACAAACGGTAGCTCTTCATGGCTCATTATCTGACAGCATGCTGTCTGCAGACACACTGACTGCCTGTCTTGTATGTTAGAACATAAGCCCTTGGGTGCCTGGGTGGCTCAGTGGGTTAAAGCCTCTGCCTTCAGCTCAAGTCATGATCTCAGGGTCCTGGAATCGAGCCCCGCATCGGGCTCTCTGCTCAGCGGGGAGCCTGCTTCCCCCCCTCTCTCTGCCTGCCTCTCTGCCTACTTGGGATCTCTCTCTGTCAAATAAAATCTTTAAAAAAAAAAAAAAAAAAAAAAAAGAACGTTAAGCCCTTGGGGTGCCTGGATGGCCTAGTCAGTTGAGTGTCTACCTTTGGCTCAGGTCATGATCCTGGAGTCCTGGGATCGAGCCCCACATCGGGCTCCCTGCTCAGCCAGGAGTCTGCTTCTCCCTCTCCCTCTCCCCTGTGTGCACACGCTAATAGATAAATAAAATCTTTTTTTAAAAAAATCACTAGAGCAGGGCACCTGGGCGGCTCAGGCATTAAGCATCTGCCTTCGGCTCATGTCATGATCCCAGGGTCCTGGGATTGAGCCCCACATCGTTTCCCTGCTCAGCGGGGAGTCTGCTTCTCTGTCTCCCTCTGCCGCTCCCCCTGCTTGTGCTCTCTAATACAAAAATTATTTTAAAAAAAGAATGTAAGCCCTTGAGGGGCACCTGGGTGGCTCAGTTGGTTGTGTCCCACTCTTGACTTTGGCTCAGGTTATGATCTCAGGGTATGAGATCAAGCCCCACATTGTGCTCTGAGCTCCGGGTGGAGTCTCCTTGAGATTCTCCCGCTCCCTCTGTTCCCATCACTCTTGCTTTCTCAAAATAAATACATAAAACCTTAAAAACAAACAAACAAACAAAAAATCCATAAGCTCTTGAGAGCAGGGACTTGGTGCTGTACCTCCAACACTCCCAGGGCCTAAAACACTGCCTGGCACGTAGCGGATACTCCGTATGGGCTGTTAAACATGCACCAGCGGCCAAGGGAAGGCCTGAGATAATGGTTCTCCCACTACGGTGAGGATCCAAACACCGTTAGGAACACAGATTCCTGTCCACACTCCTGGAGATGCCAAGGCAGGTGGTCCTGTTACTCTGAGAAACAATGCTGGAAGAATGGTTCCTGGTACCAGGGCGGAGGCTGGCTGACTGCTACTCCTACCCAATCCTGGGCTGGGAATTCCCCCAAAGGCTGAGGTTGGAAGCCTGACCGCCAGATGGGGAAGCCTCTGTCCACAACCTTAAAAGGGAAAGAAAGCAGGCTTCCTGCCTAGATCCTACTCCCTAGAACCTAGCGAGATCTGTGTGGAGAAACTGAGCTGGGATAATCACCCAGCCTGGGGAAGGCCTGGAACCTCAGCTAGGCTGGGTGGGTAGGGTTGGGGGCCAAGAAAAATGGGCTAGCTCCCCAGCACTATTGATGGCTAGTACTGGACACTAAGTTCTGGAATCCTGGGGTCACCAAAAGGCATTCCTTACACCTTAGAGCAAACACTAACACAGTGTGCTGGGGGAGTTGCCTCTCCACTTCCCAGCACCCCGAGGGCCTTACCAAGGAGCTTGCTCTAAATTAAATCCCCAACTTTACCTCCTACCACTCACTTGACTTACGCTACATCCATTTCCCTACACATACCAGGTGTTTAAAAATTTGAGCCCTTCTCCCACTCTTCTCTCTGTCTGGAAGGCCAAGAGTCCCCTGCCCCAATCTCCTTCTTCAAGGCCCACCTCAATGCCACCTTTTCCACGGAGCCTCCCCACATCATCCTGGCTGGTCGTATGTGGACCCATTCATTCGGTCTCTGTGCCCTGGGCTCCTGTCTCCTACTAGATACGAGCAGACCTTGTCTCTGTCACTTACCCACGCGACAAACACTGAGCAGCCTCTAAGAACCAGGTGCCCACACACTGATGATTTCACAGCAAATCAGTGTCCCAGCAAACAGGCTGCAGCCCCCGCCTGGCAGGGGTAGACAGAGGCACTGAGTGGGGGAAGTGGCAGGTATCAGAAAACAGAGGAACCCCTTACCCAGTCTGGGCAGGAGCAGCTTCATGGTATCACAGACAGGTACCAAATGATGGACAGCGTGAGTGAAGGCGGGCACGGCATGGGGCCCCAGTTGCCGGGGGGAAGAGGAACCTGCAGGTGCAGCTTACTGACCTGAACTGGGACCAACTGCTGTCTGGACGAGTGATCCCCCCACAGACACCTGCTCCCCAGGGGGAGGGATCAGGGTGGAGGTTTTCCCCCCGGGGGGTGGAGGAAGCAGGCTCAGTCCTCCTGCGCTGGCCGGCCGTGCTCGGGGGGTCCCAGCTGCTCCTTCCTTCTTCTTCATGTTCTGAAGAGAGGCGAGGAATGCAAACCAGTCAGTTGGGGACTGCTGGGGACCCCTGCTTATCGGAAAACCCCACAAAGGGGGCCAAGGTGACCCCCAAACCCCAAATGTCTGTATAACCAAAAGATGGTCAAGAGCCATCCAGCACTCTCACTGTTTTGAGTGGTGGTCAAGGCATCACAGTTCCAGAGTGATCCCAAATACATCTCATTTGCAAACTCAGCCCCGGCTTCATTAAGCAGCGGGGAAATACAAATTAAAATTACAAATCAAACGAGTGCTGTATCATTACACATGCACCGGAACGGCTGGGATGAAGACTGTCGGTACTGAAAAGGACGTGCAGCAAACAGAAGGCTCCCTCGTACACAGCTACCTGAACTGCTGACCCTGCAATTTCCCTCCTGGAAACAGACCCCACGGAAACCTACTCATGGCACCGAAAGACATGCCCTTGGACGTCCACAGCCACACCATTTGGAATAGCTCCAAATTGGCAATTACCCAGTGTCTGCCGTCGATTAAAGAATAACACTGGGGGCACCTGGGGGGGCTCCGTCGGTTAAGCATCTGACTCTTGATTTCGGCTCAGGTCGTGATCTCAGGTTGTGGGATAGAGCCTCCCGTGGGGCTCTGTGCTCAGCAGGGAGTCTGCTGGAGAGGATCTCTCTCCCTCTGTCTCTCCCCACCTCGAATAAATAAATCAATCTTTAAAAAAAAAAACAAACCCACAAACAGTAACACTATGACACATTCTCACAATGAAATACGCCACTGCAGTGACAATGGACAAACTACAAGCAACAAAACAAAGGCAGATTTTGTTTCAAAACAAAATCCAGGGCATTCAACATCAGGACGGTGGTGGCTCTGGTGTGTGGACCGAACAAGAGACGGGCTTCCAGAATGCTGATAATCTCTGCTTCTTGACCTGGGGGCTAGTTTGCACGGGTCCATCTGGTTTTCAAAGATTCACTGAGTTCTGCATTTATGATGTGTGCACTTTCCTGTAGGTGTATCATACTTCCATAAAACATTAAAAAAAGGCCGGGGGTGTGTGTCTAGCTGGCTCAGCCAGTTAAGCATCTGACTTTGGCTCCGATCACGACCTCAGTGTCTTGGGATCGAGCCCTGCACTGGGATCCCTGCTTCTCCCTTTCTTCTCTCCCTCTGTCCCCGCTCCTGCTCTCTCTCAAGTAAATAAATAAAATCTTCAAAAAAAAAAAAAAAAAAAGAAGACAAAATTAAAAAACAAAAACCTGAGCCCCGATGTGAGCCAGAAACCAGTGTAAGTTACGAAGATGAAGACAAGGTTACCCACTTGTAGTCCAAGACCACAGCCCTGAAGCCAGAACCCTCAAAGCCCTCAGTGAGAGTCCACCTGGGCTGGTTATTTTCAGCTCTATGACCTGGGCAAGTCCCTTACATTCTCTAAGCCTCAATTTCCTTGCCTGTAAAATGGGAGAATGTTTATTCGTGTAAGTTCCTAAAAACACTACCTGGCACACAGGTGATGCTCATTAAATGTTAGTTTCCTCCCAGCAAGAGAGGAGTCACACCCCGACCAGTCCACTGGACATGACCTGTATTTTCTGTTACGGGCCAGTTGGCCAACATCAAGGGTCCCAAATCATCACCAGCATGAAGCAGAAAAGAGGAGAAAGAGATAGTAAATAAAGAGGAAGTAAAGAGGAAAAGCATTATCTTAGGGTTACAAAGTTTCTTCAAAAAACATTCCCATGTGGTCCTTGGATCCCCCAATCACTCCAACCCCACTCCCTGCAGTCAGGTGAGGACCCAGTCTGGACACCCAGCCTGCCCTACCTTTACCCGTTCTCCACAGGAGCTAACAAGCGGAAACCCAGAGGCAGGGCAGCTCAGGATGAGACATGGGGCGTCAGGACACCACCACCACCGCAGAAGCTGCCCAGGATTCCCAGCGCCCACCTCAATGCCTTCCTGTCCAGAGCCCTCCCTACTCTTCCTTGAGGAGCAAGGCCAGGACGCAGCTGACCCCCATTCTAACAGCCTGGTCAGAAACACCAGCTCTGGCGACAAGGGACTGATGCTTCTTCTCAACTCAGAGGCTTTGCACATGCTGTTCCCTCTGCTTGAACTGCCTTCGATTCCCCTCCTTTCCCTTCCTTACAGGTCACTTTTTCTAGGAACCCTTCCTCGCTTCCCTTAACTATGGGCTGTGTGCTCCTCCTCTAGGCACTCACGGCACTGAGCGCGTCCCCTCCCCTCCCAGGCTGTGGTCACATCTCGCTTATCCCTTCTGTTTAATTCTGAGCTCCTCGAGAGCAGAGCTCTCTCGTTCACCCCTAGCACAGGACCTGGCAAAAGGCAGCTGATCCACAAACATCTACTCAACCGATGGAACTGAAGCGTGGGAAAAGGGCAGGCGGGCTCCGGGCCGGGGCTGGGGGCTGGCCAACAAAGCCAAGGGAGGTGGGACTCACCGCGATGTTGAGCTTGATGGTCTGGCCCTCTTTGAAGCCTAGGTCCAACTTGGGACCCTGGTCTGGGTTCTGGGCCTGTTTTGCAAATTCACACTGCTGTTTCACCCACCTGGGGAGAGGGCAGAAAGAAAAAGGTGAGGAAGAGACCCGCTGCCCTGCATTCCACTCCCTTACTCCCCCTCCACCTGCCACCCATCCGGGAAGAGGTTTTACATGGCAGAAAGAGCACACGCAGGCTTGGGAGCTGGGCCTGAATTCGAATCCTGACTCTGACACATAAGTGGCTGCGGGCAGATCAGTTCCTTCATCAACAAAATGGGACGACAGTTACGTATGTGTTAAAGACAGCTCTGAAAATTCAGTGAGCTCATGCATGCAGACAAAGGTCCTCACACTGGTCTTCAGGAAATCTGAGAACTGGCCCTCTCCTCCATAGCACTTGGCATGTGGACCAGGACAACATATCCACACCCCCCACTCACAAGGACTCATAAGGTAGACGGTGAGATAAGACAGATGCCCAGGAAGTGGAGAGCAACACAAAAGTACCCTCCAGCCTCTATTCGATACCCATCCAGCAGCCACCTGGGCAGGGACAGCAGGCCAGGGAAGAGCCAGGGGTGCCCACGTGAGTGGCTGCACACAGGCCAACTCGACAGCAGCCAGAGACGGAGGCCTGAAGGTGGCAGGGGAGCAGTGTTTCCTGCCCCGTCTTTTAGCTTTCGAAAGGACTCCCAGACAGTGACCACCTGCCACCACTTATTGTATCACGAAGGAGCAGGCTCAGGAAGGCCCCATGAGCCCCCCATGGACTCAGGCTCCTCTGGGGCCTGGTAAGGGAAGAGGTATGGCACCTCAGAGGCTAAGCCAGCTGACCAGTGAGAGATGAGCCTGCCGAAAAGGAGAGGACTGGAAAGTAGAGAAGACAGCCTGCCCCCCAGGAGCAGTGAGTCTCTCGGGGGCTCTGCTAGCAGAAGAATCCCACACAAGCACCTAAGTATCCTAGGCTGGGAAACCATTCTGTCCCAGGAAAGCAAGGAAAGAGGCATGAGCACCGGTGTCTTGGAACCACTCACTTGAAGTGGTCCTGCAGTGCAACGTTGAAGTCAAAGGCATCGCCTCGGTCCCCGAAGCCAATTCCAATAAATGCCCGGCGCCCTGGGGGACAACACAGGATTAATCCCACTTGCCAGCGGCAGAGGAAACTCTTCTTACGAGGAGGAACCCCTGAAACCCACACGCACCGTTTCCATCTTCGATGCGGATAACGAAGTACCTGCTGGAATCCGTCACGCTCTCGACGGCCGTGCCGGGAAACTGATCCACCGGAGCCTGAGCAAAGAGCTCCCCTGGAAGCACAGGTTAGGGTGAGCCTGGAGCCCCCTTCCCGCCTGACATTTCTATCAAACCACTGCGGCCTTTTTCCTGAAAGGCAGCGAGGCAAACCTTACTCCAGGGTTCAAATCAAATCCATTCTGATGGACGAGAGAACACAGACCTATAACCAAGCAAAGGTTTAAGTCAGGAGTGGCCTGCAAGTCAGATACAGCCTAAGGTTAATAGTCTTGATTTAACTGCCAAACTCTTCAAAATCAAATTACGTGCAAAATCATCCCGATTTCTGGTCTTCCCTGACAACCCAAACCTCTAGCGACGCTGGGACTCCATTCGCACAGGAGAGCCAGGCTGGAGCCCACCTGCCTGCACCGGAGGGCCCTGGTCCAGGTCCAGCACCACCTCAGAAAAGGCCTGGAACCCGAGGCAGGACTGCAGAGGAGCCGCAGGACCCAGTGAAAGGGGCTTGGGGGGCCACAGAAGAACCGAAGCAGGGACGCCTGGGTGGCTCAGTCGGTTAAGCGGCTGCCCTCGGCTCTGATCATGATCCCAGGGTCCCAGGATCAAGCCCCGCATTGGGCTCCTTTCTCAGCGGGGAGCCTGCTTCTCCTCTGCCTGCCTCTTCCCTTGCTTGTGCTTTCTCTCTCTCTTTCTCTGACAAATAAATAAAATATTAACAAGAAGAAGGATCTGAAGCAGCTGAGACAGGGCAAGAGGACCACCGGTTTTAAAAGGAGCCACTGCCAAACGCATCCCTTGTCACTCCGGCACTCTAGGCCCCGGTGCGGTGCCCACCTTTGGGGGCATTCTGAACTCCTGTCGCTTCCACAGGTGCTGACCTCTGTCCGAGCTTCTGGTACTCGACCGAGGCTCCTCTACTCAGTGCTGGGGTTCACAGGCGACTGTAATCAAGGCTCAGCTGAATCCAAACTGGTGGCCCGCGAGTCTGTAGCTTCTTGGTAATTTCTCTGTGCCTCTCCCCCAGCTTGGCCCCTGGGGATCTAGTACTCACCTGGATGCCTTTGGCCTAGAGCAGTGATTCTCAACCAGTGGTGGTTTTGCCCCCGCCCCCGACCAGGGACATGGGACAATGTGCAGACACATTTTTGGTTTTCCACAGCTTGGGGGGGTGCTACTGGCATCTGGTAGGCAGAGGCCAGGGATGTTGCTACGAACTGAAATTTGACTTGACAGTCCCAACACTCCCCTGGCCCAAATGCCACTAGCCTTGGCTGAGAAGGAGTGCAGAGCGAGAGACAAGAGGACCCGGCAGGCCTGGCCCCGAGACGCAAGCACCCTAGGGCGGCTCCTGCAGGGGAGGCTCAGCTCTGAGCAGCCGCTGTTCCACTAGGCAGGCACCTTCAAGTCCGTTCCCAAGGCTCGCAGGAAACAGCTCTTGCCATCCCTTGTGAGATCACCTTGGACAGCCCGGAATTCTCTGGCCTAGTCACAGCAGCTGTCTTTTCAAACTCCTTTGCAGCCAATACCCAGCCAGCCCCATGTTCCAGAACGCGTCACTGCTCTGGGTCACCTCACAGTTCACAAAGCAGTTGGATAAATGTGTGCTCACTTCGTATTTCCAACAATCGTGTGAAGCAAGAGCTAATGTGATCCCCATTTCAAAAAGGAGGCCAAGGCACCAGCAGTCACGGGGCTCGCCAAGGGTCCCACGGCTCAGACACAAGAGACGCAGTTCTCAGAGGCAGAGATTTTGCCTGTGGCGCTTTACAGCCGGTCCCGCCCCGCCCGGGAGAATCTCTTACACGTTAGAAAAATAAATGACCGAACGCAGCAGCCCCCGACCGAGCAGCACCATGCCCGACCCGGCTCTGGGGGCTGGGGCTCTTTCAGGCCTCTACGGCCTCCACAGCTCACCCGGAGGCCCTGGGGGCACATGACTTCCAGACAGATTTCCCCTAAGGTGACATCTGCCAGCTGACCCCAACACAGCCCAGCTTGGCTTGTCCTTTCACCAAAGAAATAGCTGAGCAGGACAACTTCCAGCACTTTCAGTTCACGGGCGTGGTCAGTCTGGGGAGTTAACCATTCAGCTGATAAACAGAATTTCTGAGGAGGAAGCCTCGCTCAGCGGCACAGGGTTGTGCGTCTCCCCCTGGCCAAGCTGGTCTTAAAGGCAAACTCTGGGTCTTCCTGAGACCAACTTGTCTGTCTCCTCTTCCTGGATTCCAAAATTAGTATGTTCTTAAGGATGCCCCCACCCAAGACAGGTGTATGACGGGAAATGCACCCTTCTACACCGGAGACCGGGCTTTCTACAATTAAAGGTGGGGGGGCTGGAGGCGGCTTAGAGGGCCGCTGGGCCTTTGATTTGGAGGCTCAGTTCCCGCAACCCGAGTGGACTCGCCAGGGCTGCCTCTCCGTTCACAGAGTAGGAGGCGCGGCATCTCAGCCCCACAAGGGCCTCCCTGGCCTTTACCTGAGGTCCTGTCCTCCAGCTTGATGAAGGCCACCTGCCCTTTTGCAGTGATCCGCAGCCGGCCACTCCATGATGGCTGGTCCAGCTGCCACTCCGCGGCCCTACGGGGACAAAAACCATTGAGCCTCTGCTAGGGGGTCCTGCTCCCTCACTCCAGGGCTGGGGACGGGAATGGGAAGGGCATGTGGGCTGCCTGCTCAGGACCAGAGGCTGCCAGACTTTCTCCAAAAAGGACCATCCCATCTCTGTCACAACTACCCACTCTGCTGTTGTAGGGTGACAGCAGTGATACAGAGTACAGGAGCATCTTGGTGCTTTATGTATTTTATCTGAACGTCTGCTGCGGCGTGTGACTATTTCAGCGCAACTCTCTGGACACGAAAAACCTGAATTTCATGTAATTTTCACATTAAGAGATATTCTTTTTGAATGTTCCCCAACTACTATTTAAAAATACAAAAACCAGGGGCGCCTGGGTGGCTCAGTGGGTTAAAGCCTCTGCCTTCGGCTCAGGTCATGATCCCAGAGTCCTGGGATCGAGCCCCGCGTCGGGCTCTTTGCTCGGCGGAGAGCCTGCTTCCCTTCCTCTTTCTGCCTGCCTCTCTGCCTACTTGTGATCTGTCAAATAAATAAATAAAATCTTAAAAAAATATATACATATATATATAAACCATCCTTAGCTTGTGAGACATACAAAAACACAGTGGGTCGCAGTTTGCCGGCCCCAGTTCTAGACTACAGAGATTTTTCTCAGAAGCAGGACTTCCAGTTTTCTTTTGGTAAAAGCAGCAGCTCCTGGGCCTGCTGTTTAAGACACTGCCAGGCTGCAGTGGCGAGAGTGACCATCTGGGACCAGTGAGACAATCTTCGAGGAAAAGCAGAGAGCGAGCAATCATTAGCAGAAAGAGAAAAAGAGAGCAACTATACACCTGAGAAAAGTGAATCCAGGAAATTTAACCCCAAAGGTGTTCCAGGCCAAAAGAACCCCCAGGAAACCGTGGACCTATCACAATAGCTTCTTTGGGGACTTTTAAAGTAGTAACTTCACATTTTACTTCTAAGAAGCAATTCAGTAAAATCCCCAAATAGCAAGAACTTTGGGTGTTTTCAAAGGCTTTTCCTGGAAGTCCCTAAGCAATATCATTAACTACAGACACAGGTCTTTTTGAGGACCACACAAATGCAGACTCTCGATTCACAAGTCAGCTGACTCGGTTTCAGTTCCTCCTACTCGGGCAACACAGGCCTCAGATCCAAGCTAACACGAGCTCTCAGCGTGAAGGGCAGGGGCTGCCAGCTTTCTCTACGCCAAACCAGCCAGCCGGACACTTGGGAACCTCACTCTTGCAGGGACCGGGAGGGACAAAACCCATCCTACTGAAGGGGATCAGAGTAGGCTGACCATCCTGGGTTTGGTGTCCCATCTCCAGTTTGATAACAGAAAGCAGATGTGTTTTTGTAACGGCTTCTCTTGTTGCTTTCAAACTACTTTCAGGTTACACCACAGATGTCACAGGTGTTCAAAAAAGTAATCTGTTGTCTAGAAAATCAGCCAGGAGTCTGTGTTAACACACCTGGAAAGCAACAAGAAGCCAGAAATGTGGCCACTCCACCATCCTTGCGATGCAGGCCAGTTCTGTATTTCCAAACCACGGAGACAAAAACATGGCCTTCAAAAGCGACTCCACCCCCACTCCAGGGGCACAAAATAGCCACAGACCAGGTTGTCTGTAACAGGTACATCTCTCCCCACCCCACCCCCACCTTTTCACAGGTAATGCATAGGCTTGGTAACAAAATGCAAACAGTACCAAAAAAGCGTAGGGCGAAAGGAAGTCTCCTTCGAACTCCCACTGCCCTCCCGTAGCGCCCTTTCCTGTGTTCCCTTCCAGACCCTACAAGCATCTGTCTATCCGTCTCGGGTGAACATTTCACCGGAGAAGCGCGAAGCACTCCTCCCAACCGTCACCAGCTGGGATAAGGACTAAGGTTCGTGCGAAGGGAGCTGGGCAGGGAGGGGTCCCCGGGCTCTGGCCATCCGCCTACAGCTCCCTCGGACGAGTCCTTTTGGCCGGTTCTGAGCTGTTTTCCTTCCGCTGGGGATTTCCGCCCGTGATAGGACCCCCCCCCCACCCCTTCAGGCTTTTCAAGGTTCCCCTCAAGGCCACCAGTTAGGGCTGAAAGAAAAGGACTTGTGACACCACCTCCCCGAACCACACTTAGGGTACCGGCTAGACACGGCTCCAAAGCCCTCCCCGCGCTGGAAGCCCCGTGCGCCGGACTGACACAGCCCCAAGTCTGGGTCTCCCTCCTCGCTCTGGCCTCGAGCTGGGAGAAGCCCCCGCATTACCTCCCGCCTCTCCCCTAAACCGGCCGGAGCGGTCCTCGGCTCCCATGGTGGGCGTGTCGGGCGGCGGGGAAGCGGTTAAATCAGGGTTAGCCTGGCCCGGCGGCAAGCGGTCACCTGTAACCACGGTTGGTGGCTCGCGGCGGGATGCGGTAGACGTGGACCTCCGGCTTGACACAGAGGACCGACTCATACTCTCCCTCCTCCATCTCGACACCCGGAGCCCACCGGACTTCCGGCTCCTTCCCAGCCGCGGCGCCGGAAGCAGCTCGACTCTACGACCCGGCTCAGGCTAGAGCGGCAGCTTGCGGGCTTCAGCACGTCCGTCTCCCTCCCGCCCTCTGCTGGCGACTCTGGCTCAAGACACGCGGCGGACGGATCCTGGAGCCATGCGCTGAGGGACAAGAGGTTTTAGGGGCTTTGGGCTCGTACGAGGCCTTATGTGCAGCAGAGAAAACTTCAGTGCCGACCCCGCTGCAGTCCGTTGTCTGGCTGTGGGTCATCCCCATCCCCTCAGCACTTACACCTGCATCCCAGCTGGCTGAAACTCAGCTGTATCTGCCTACGCAGCTCACCCTGAAGCCAATATGGCCTCCAGCCTCTACTTCCCTGGGCTCTTCCTGAACGTCCTGCCTTCTCCTGACTCTAGAAACCTCCACGGAGGCTCTTCCTCCTAGAGAGAGGCTAACCTGACCCACCGCTACGTGGGGCGCCACCCTTATCCTCACCCACCACGTGCCCAGTGTGACGTCCACTCGACAAAGATTAAAGTCTACTAACGTAAGTCTCGAAGAAAGACTCCCAGTCCTCATGGATTTCTCACAGAATGTCGTAGGGGATACATTTTATCCTACCATAATCAAGTTCTCAAAATCCCTTCTCCTCGGGGCGCCTGGGTGGCTCAGTGGGTTAAAGCCTCTGCCTTCCGCTCAGGTCATGATCCCAGGGTACTGGGATCGAGCCCCGCATCGAGCCCCGCATTGGGCTCTGCATCTCTGCTCAGCAGGGAGCCTGCTTCCCCCTCTCTGCCTGCTTGTGATCTCTGTCTGTCAAATAAATAAATAAAATCATTAAAAAAAAAAAAAAACCCCGGGGCGCCTGGGTGGCTCAGTGGGTTAAAGCCTCTGCCTTCAGCTCAGGTCATGATCTCAGGGTCCTGGGATCGAGTCCCACATCGGGCTCTGTGCTCAGCAGGGAGCCTGCTTCCTCCTCTCTCTGCCTTCCTCTCTGCCTACTTCTGATCTGTCTCTGTCAAAGAAATAAATAAAATCTTAAAAAAAAAAAAAATCCCTTCTTCTCCGGTGCCATCCCTCATTTGTTCCACGACTGTTTACTAAGCGATTGTGCTGATCCCGGCTTCGCTTCACTGAATGCTCTCACACGTGCCCCACCCACACATCCCCCGCTCCGCTCTCTCGTACTCACTCTGTATAAGTTCTTTATTACAGAATTAATCTAATTTCTTAAAAGATCTTTTTTTTTTAATTGTGGTAAAATATACATAGCCTATACTTTATGGCTTTAACCATTTTTAAGTGTGCAATTCAGTGGAATTAAGTACATGCACAATATTGCATAACTATCACCACCATTTCCAGAATTTTTTCACCTTCCCCAACAGAAATTCTATACCCATTAAGCAATAACACCCCATTTCCCCCTAGCCCCAAGCCCCAGGTAACCTCTGTTCTGCTTTCTGTGTCTATGAAATTGCCTATTCTAGAAATCTCATGTAAGTGGAGTCGTACGGTATCTGTCCTTTGAATCTGGCTAATCTCACTTTGTATAATGTTTTCAAGGTTCCTCCCTGTCCTAGCATCTAACAGAATTTCATTTTTTCTGACAGCTGTGGGGGCAGTCCCCACTTTGTTTACCCACTCCTCTGTTGATGGACATTTGGGTTCTTTCCATCTTTTGGTTACTGTGAAGAATGCCACTAAGTTTGAGTCCCCATTTTCAGTTCTCTCGAGTATTAATCTAGAAGTGGATTTACTGGGCCATATGGTAATTTTGTTTTAAGATTTTATTTATTTGACAGAAATACATAGCGAGAGAGGGAACACAAGCAGAGGCATGGGAGAGGGAGAAGCAGCCTTCCCGCTGAGCAGGGAGTCTGATGTGGGGCTCGATCCCAGGACCCTGAGATCATGACCTGAGCCGAAGGCAGACACTTAACGCCTGAGCCACCCCCGTGCCCACCAAATGGTAATTTTATGTTTAGCTTTTTGAGGAACCACCAAACTGTTTTCCTTAGTGGCTGTGCCATGTTAGGTTTGCACCAGCTCTGAACAAGGGTTCCGGTTTTTTCACATCTTCAACAATATTTATTTTCCATTTCTTCGATCACAGCCATCCTGGTGGGTGTGAAGTTAACTTTCCTTTATGTGAATTGCTTTAACCTCTAATTTCAACTTTGCTCATTATCGTGATTCTCTACAACAGAGAAGAAATTGAGAAATGACCCAGAAAATGAGATTTCTTCTTCCCTCTTCTTTGATCCTGTCTCTCATCATCCTAAAGTCCTGGAGTGCCAAAGACAGAACTCCCCTTTGAAGGTGGAAGGGGAAAGATATCAAGAGGGGCAGGGAAGGTGCACTCCCACTTGCATTCCTGCTCTCCCACCAGACCATGAGCTTCTATTTTTTTAAAGATTTTATTTATTTATTAGAAAGAGAGAGGCAGAGAGAGAGAAAGAGAGAGAGCACACGAGTGGGGGTGAGGGGCAGAGTGAGAGGGAAAAAGCAGACACCCCACTGAGCAGGGAACCCTACATGGGGCTCAATCCCAGGACCTTAAGATCATGACCTGAGCTGAAGGCAGCCACTTAACCAAATGAGCCATCCAGTGGCCCCAGACTGTGAGCTTCCTGAATGCAGGACCCTGTCCCCTCCCATCTGTGGGACCCTGTATTCAGCCACATAGGTTTGGGCACAGAGACAGTGCTCGGAGAATGAATGAGTAAATGTGTGTGTGTTCCCTTGGCTACATCCCAAAAGCAAGTGGCAATTTGGGGATGGGCCGCTGCGTTTTCTCTTTCACACTCTGACCCCTTTCATCAATACTCACTGAACAATGGAGGGGCAGAGAGGGTAGCCAAGGAGTAAATCACCTGGACTCATTTAGAGAACTTCCAGTGGGGAAAGTATCTATGACCGGCTCTCGAGAGCCGAACTTTGGGGTGGTGTCCACAGTCACCACCAAACTCCATCATGTCCACTCTGGAAGCCAAGCAGCGTGTACACAGTAGCAGTCTGGCCTCGCCACGTGGCTGCCGCAGGTAAGACGACTTCCCCTCATGAACCTCGGAGGAAATCATCACTCCATGCCCAGGGGCAGCCTGGCCTTCCGGTGTGTCAAAACACTGGCAGGTCAGTTCTGTGTGATCCATGCGGCGTAATACAGCGTCCCTGGGAGGAGCCAACCCAGCTCCTGCTTTCATTGAACGTACAAACCAGAGGACACAGCGAGGGAAAGAGTACTTTAGGATGCACAGTGGGAAGGGCTAGGACAGAGGAATTCCCGACAGTTGTGGGTGCCAAGAGGAGAGAGACCCAACTTAGCCTGGGGCCGTCAGGGAAGGCTCTCCGGAAGAGGTTACAGCAGCGACATAATAATCCCTGTGAGGTAGGCAGGGCAAAGCTTGTTATCTCCATTGTGCAAGGGAGGGCACTGAAACTGCGACAAGTCCCAGGGAAACCACACTGTCCTGCAGTTGGAGGTCAGACAGTCCCTGGACTTTTTCTCAAACCCATAGCTGGACATTGCCCAAAATGCACCCCTAGACCTCTCTGGTGAGACCAACTGGATCTACCATCTACTCCCAGGTTAATTACATTATTTACCCAACGAAGTCAATTCAACCCAACAGGCAGAGTATAGGCTCAGAGAGAACCCATCCCAAGCATGAGGAGGTGAACAGGGAAGCAAAGTCTTGCGGATTCATCTAGCTGCTTTCAGGTAGGTCCAGGGCCAGGGTGGGGGTTTGGTGTGGACAGCTGTCCTTGGTGGCTTCCTGGAATATATATCATAGGTCACTTATTATTTTTTTTCTGCTGCGTTTTTCTTCCATCATAGACATTTCTTTTTTTTTTTTTAAGATTTTATTTATTTATTTGACAGAGAAAGAGAGAGAAATCACAAGTAGGCAGAGAGGCAGGCAGAGAGTGAGTGGGAAGCAGGCTCCCTGCCAAGCAGAGAGCCCAACACAGGGCTCCATCCCAGGACTCTGAGACCACAACCCGAGCTGAAGGCAGAGGCTTAACTCACTGAGCTACCCAGGCACCCCCATCAGAGACATTTCTAAGAGAAATCCCCCCATTCCTCAGAACGGGAAACCACTTATAAAAGGACACTCAGTAACAAAACAATCTTGAAAAAGAATGAAATTGGAGGGACGCCTGGGTGGCTCAGTTGGTTGAGCAGCTGCCTTCGGCTCAGGTCATGATCCCGGCGTCCTGGGATCGAGTCCCGCATCGGGCTCCTTGCTCGTCGGGGAGCCTGCTTCTCCCTCTGCCTCTGCCTGCCATTCTGTCTGTCTGTGCTCGCTCTCTCTCCCTCTCTCTCTCTGACAAATAAATAAATAAAATCTTAAAAAAAAAAAAAAGAATGAAATTGGAGAACTCCTACTTCCTGGTTTCAACACTTACTACAAAACTAGTAGAGTATAGTAGAATACTGAAATAAGGTTAAATGTATAGATTAATGGAATAGAATTCAGGATCCAGAAATAAACCCTCACATGGACTTTCCAGAAGTGTGCCAAAACAATTCAATAGAGAAACCATGGTCTTTTCAACAAATGGTGCTGAGATGTCCACATGCAGAAGAATGAAGTTGGATCCCTACTTCACACCATATACAAAATGAATTAAAAATGGATCCTAGTTTTATTTTTTTATTTTTTTTTTAAATATTTTATTTACTTGACAGAGAGAGATCACAAGTAGACAGAGAGGCAGGCAGAGAGAGAGAGAGAGGGAAGCAGGCTCCCTGCTGAGCAGAGAGCCCGACGCGGGACTCGATCCCAGGACCCTGAGATCATGACCTGAGCCGAAGGCAGCGGCTTAACCCACTGAGCCACCCAGGCGCCCCTGGATCCTAGTTTTAGTGTAAGAGCTAAAACTCAGAACTTTTAGAAGAAAACCTAGCCTTTAGAAGAAAACCTAAGAACTTTTAGAAGAAGACCTAAATCTTCATGACGTTGGATTTATGTTCTAATAAATAATTATCTAATGTATTCTCAGAAATGACTTTAAAAGCACAAGTAACAAAAGAAAAAATAGATAAATAAGACTTCAACAAAACTTAAAACTTTGTGCTTCAAAGGACAAAAAAGTGAAAATACAAGCACATCATGTGAGAAAATTTTGCAAATTATTTATCTGGCAAGGGACTCACACCTAGTAAGATTTACATCTATATAAAGAACTCTTACCATTCAACAGTAAAAAGACAACCCAGTTTATACATGAACAATGGACTCTAGTAGACATTTTCCCAAAGAAGCTATATGAATAGCCAGTAAGCACATAGAAAGATGCTCCATCGTGGGGCACCAGACTGGCTCAGTCAGTACAGCACACAACTCCTGATCTCTTGGAGTTGCCAGTTCAAGCTCTATGTTGGGCATAGAGATTACTTTAAAATATGTATTTATTTCTGAAGATTTATTTATTTTATTTGAGTGAGAGAGAAGCTGAGTGTGGGTGGCAGGGGGAAGCAGAGAGAGTCTCAAGGAGACTCCGCACTGAGTCTGGGGATGGGTGGGGGGGCTTGATCTCATGACCCTGAGATCATGACCCAAGCCAAAACTTTTGGTTTTGGACGCCCAGTGGACTGCACCACCCAGGAGCCCCCCCAAAAAAATCTTAAAAAAAAAATGAATAAAGAAAGAAAGATGCTCCAATTCATCAGCCATCAGGGAGATGCCAATCAAAACTGCAATGAGATACCACTTCATACCCACACCCACTAGGATGCCTAGAATTTAAAAAGGTCGATAATAACAAGTGTTGGTCAGGATGTAGGAAAGTTGGAACCCTCACGTACTGCATCTGGGAATGGAAAATGACACAGCTCCCTTGGAAAAGAGTCTGGCAATTACCCGAGACTAAACATAGAGTTAGCGTATGACCCAGCAATTACTCTCCTCGATATATAGTCAAGAGAAATGAGAACATATAATGCAAAAATCTGTACATGAATGTTTATAGCAGTATTATTCCTGATACCCCAGAAGTAGAAACATGCAGATGTCTATTAACCAATGAATGAATATAAACATGTAGTATGTTGGCTCTAAAAGGAAATGATGGGTGTAGGCTACAATGTGGGTGAATCTTGACATTCTGCTGAGTGAAGAAGCCGGTGACCGAGGACTACATATCACATGATTCTATTTATGTGAAATGTCTGGAATGGGTAAACCTAAAAGGCAGAGAGTAGATTACTGATTGCCTAGGGCTGGGGGTTGCTTGGGAGGATGGAGGTGATGGCTATGGGGTAGTGAGGTTTCTATTTAGGATGATAAAAATGTTCTAATATTGGGTGATGGTCAAACAATTCTGTGACTGTATTTTTTTTTTTTTTTACTTTTTAAAATTTTATTAATTATTTTTATTAGCATATAATGTGTTATTTGCCCCTGGGGTACAGGTCTGTGAATCGTTAGGCTTACACACTTCACAGCACTCACCATTTCACATACCCTCCCCAATGTCAATTCTGTGACTATTAAATGCCACTGAATTGTACACTATTTGAGAGAGAAAGAGCATGAGCAGGGTGAGGGCAGGCAGAGGGAGAAGGAGACTCCCCTCTGAGCAGGGAGCCCAACATAGGGCTCAATCCCAGGAACCCCAACATCATGACCAGATGCTTAACCAACTGACCCACCCAGGTGCCCCTGAATTATACACTTTAAATGGGAGAATAGTATGGTATGTGAATTAAATTTCAATAAAGCTGTGAACAAAAAGAAAAGACACCAAGTGCTCCAAAAGGAGAATATCGTCCATTCATCCATATGTACCAGCCACCCCCCTCAAGTCTGTCCTCAGATTCCACGCCCTTCTATTAGGGTTGGGACATCCCTTGTTCAGATGCTCACAGAGTTCATAAGTTTCAGATGGGGATGGAGAGGGCGCTGGATCTCTTCTGGAAACTCTGCTCCCTTAAAATTTCAGCTTGTGGAATATTGGGGACTGAAGATTCTGAGGTGGAGATAGTGGACAATGGGGGGCGTGTTTGAGGGGGTCTGAAGGGGATTCCTCCAGATGGGTCATCCACCCCTGGGGCAGGAAGCCCTGGAGGAAAGGGGAATGCACAGGGAGTCCTCATGGGAGAGAGACAGGAAGAGAGAGGAACTCCCCAGGGAGAGGGAGGAACTTTGTCACAGTGCTGACTTCCCTGTGCCAAGTGAAAGCCTAGACCCTTTGGGAGGTGGGCGCTGTGCCTGGGGTGGGCATCCTACAGGAGCGGAGATCTTGTTTGCATTGTGGGGTGCTGGTGTAGCTGCGGGAAGGACTGGAGGGGGGAGTGGGGATTTGGGTTCGTGGCTGATGAGGGCATCTCCTCTGTGCCCCTGGTAAATGGTGAGAGACTTCTGAACACCCAGTGTACCCTCAGGCCTTGTGCTGTGCCTATAGCTTGGGCACAGGTCCCTGAGACAGTTGTTAGTTGTGTAGGTAAATGAATGAGCAGCTTGGAGGCAAGATAATATGATGAGACGAGCAGGCTTGAGAGCCTCACAGTCCTGGGTCTGAATCCAGATCTCCTGCAGGCTAGCTGTGTTGTATTGGACAAGACATTGGGCTTCTCTGAGCTTTAGGGCTAAACCCACTGACCTCACAGGGGCTTAGGAGAATACCGCTTGCAAACGTGCCCAGCAAATAGAAGGTTCCTCCGTGTCTGTTGGCTGGCCTGCCATGATTTAGAGTGAAAACACAAGATCTCCACGACCCCACGGTCTCACGGAGGGGTAGGATTTACCCCCTAGAAACTTGCTAACAGTAAAATGGGGTCTGTGATGCACCCATAGAAATATGAGCCTCGGAGGAACTCAGAGGCTGGAGGGAGAGCTGGGGTGGCTGGAAGTTTGGAGAAGAGGTGGGAGGCTGAAGAAATGGGGGTGGGGGTTAGAGAGACAGAGAAGTGGGCTGCAGGTACAGAGGTGGGGGATCTGTGGGATTAGGATTGCGGGAGGCTGTCCAGGTTAAAAGAGCATGTTTGTGTAGGGGATGGTCATACAGCCTAATATGAAGTTGGACAGGAGAGGCAGGAGAGACACCAGGAAAGGCTTTAGAAAGGGATGTGTCCAGGGCAGAGGCAGCTGGGGGATGGGGGTGCTTTGGTGAACTACATATGCCATTGGAGTTCTTGGGGTTCTCAAGACCGATGTTTCCAACTTCTGTTCCTTAACCCCAAGAAGAACTTGGAGTTTTCATCTATAACAACAGCAACCATGACATTCTTGGGCACTCTTTAAAATGCGTGTCTGAAATGTATACTAAAGGCTCTGAGAAGTCCTGCAACACAGCCTATTCCTATTCCAACTCTGCTCTTTCCAAACACATTTGGTATCAGAATGTTTTTTTGCAGTGCCCCTCGTGGGACCAATATTAGGATCAAAGAGCACCCATTAGGCAATGCTGTGGTAGAAGAAAGTACGTGTGTTTTGGGATCCAATAGGCTATAGTTTAATTCCTGTTCTGTGACTCAGTTGGTGTCAGACCTTGGGCAAATCACTTTTCCTCCTTTTCCTCAGTGTCATTGTGAGAATTAGGAAGGATTTGTGGGTAAATTGGGTGTGGCCAGCTCTTCGGTTTTGATGCGTGCCCTTCAGAGCCTGACCCGGCCCTGACTCTTCCCTTCAGTCAGGCTCTCTATTACAGGTTCCACGTGGGCTGCTCAAACAGTGCTTAGATAATGAGCTTGATGGAACTTTGACTGGATTTCTCCTGTGGGACCACAGCAACTGATGCCTGTCCCTTGGTACCCCCATTGGCTGTGGCACAATGGACAAGAGAATGTACATGGAGGCAAGGATCAAGGCTCCTGGGGCCCAGCCAAGTCCTGACATGAGTGCCACCAGCAAGAGGACTGGTGCTGAGCCCACCATATCAGGAGTCAACCAGGTAGGGCCCTGCACCTCATGTTCTGACCCTGCTATTCCCAGCAGTCACCTTTCCCCTCCCCTGCCCAATCTTCCTCCCCAACTACTTTAATTAAGACTCAGTTACAAGTGATACAAAACCCAATTCAAACTGAATTAGGCAGAAATGAGAATATGTTAGTTTGAATAACTGACAAATCTATCAGAAGACTTCAGGTATGGCTGGATCAAGGTGCTAGATGAGTGTCCTTTGGTTCTGCCTTCCAACATGCCATTCCCTGGAAGACTCTCCCTGAAAGATGGCAAGGATTTCCCTGGCCACTCCAGACTTTAATCTTGTCATCTTACATCCTCTGGAATAGCGTCCCCAACAGGAAGAGAACCTCTTTGCAATAGTTAAAGTTTCTGGTACCACTGTCATTGGTCCACTGTCACATGCTTATCCCTGAATTAGTCACCATGGCAGAACACAGTGGCCTGGAGCTCTTGGTATAATGAAGTCAGAAGTGGTACTCAGTTGGCTCCACTGACCCCATGAGCTGCCCCCCCCACACACAAAATTTGGCTTCTTTTACCAGGATAAATGCTGGATGAGTAAAATAAGAATTCCTACTTACTCTACTATGCAAATTCCATAGCGTCCAGCCCCTTTCTAACCCTTATTCCCCCGGCAGCTGCTCCCGACCTCTAACCATGACCCTCCCCAGCCCCCAGCCTGCACCCTGAGCTTTTATCACACTTCTGAACCTCTTTCCATCCATCCTTCTAAGTGCCAAGTGGCACGAACTGAAGAGCACGAAGAAGGCCCTCCTTCCCATCTAGTTTCCCCAGAGCCAAAAATGTCCCCATAAAAAAAAGGTCAGCATTCTCATGAGTAAAGCATTGCCTTCTCCCTGTTGCTTTTGTTACAAATCATGGCTTCCCCTGGGGGCAGGGAGAGCACCTGAAGTTGTGTGTATGTTGGGGGTGGTCTTGGAAGGAGGTTGGGGAAGACATTCAGGGCTTCCTTTACCTCTACCCCTGATTTATTTTTTCAGTGAGCAAAGTCATGGATCTCAGTCCCATTACATAACCATCTGTATGACCTTGGGCAAGCCACTGCACCCCATTGAGCCCCCACTGTCATATGTGTGTCATAGTGAGGACCAACTGGGTTCAATCCCTGGAGGCACGGGCACAGGTCCTGCCTCCTGCAGTAGGTGACCTTGGTGTTGGCTTCCGGCACAGTCTTGCAGTAGAACAGTTATCGATTGATTGAGCCAGGCCTTCTGGAGTTTGCTGACTCAGGTGAGGCTCGCAGCTAGCCCTAAGTCACTGGCTCCATTAGGGACTGATAGACCAAGATGGACATCAAAACCCAGTTCTAGAGCCTGAGCTCTGAAGCAGCGGAAATTGAGGATGGCTTTCTTGGATCTTCTCAGGGTGTTGATGTCCCCCAGGGGGTCCTTTGAGGCTGACCTCAGGGAGTCCCCTCTCCTGAGGTCCTACTCTGGACTTCAGCTTTGTGCTAGAGCCATTAGCGCTGAATGACAGCCTCTGGGCTGGGCCAGGTCTTAATATGCAGCCACTCTCTCCAGGGGCCCCCTGTCTCCTCCTCCTCACCTCTCTCCAGTCAGACACAGGATCTCCCTGCCCCGAGGCCAGGACGATACCCAGGGAGAGGGAGGAACCCTCCAGAATGGGGACTTGTGGCCACCCTCGGGCCAGCGCCATGGACATCTCTGTTCCAGGTTGCAGTCCCAGATGCTGCAGGGATGGATGGTGGGAAGCAGCCCTCTTCAGCCTCAGGAGGGCCAGAAAAGGGACCTAGACACAGGGAATCCTCAGAGGAGGGTCCTCTGGAGCTCAGGACCCAGGAGCAGACATATCCGGCTGGACCAAGGTGAGCTGGGGACTTCTTAGAGAATGTCCAGGAGAGAACCCTGTGAGCCACCTGGGGGACAAGGATAATGTAGGACTCCCGGCCTAAGATAGAAGTGCTCTTGCTTCTCTCTCATGCAGCATAAATCATGCTACCTAATTACTCGTGGAACCTTTCATCTGCACTGCCTGACTAGACCACACACTTCTTTGATGTGTCCTGCTCAGCCTCAAATCCCTCATGCCTGGGACTGGGACTGGCACATAGTAGATGCTCAGTAAATATGTATTCACCGAATCAATGGAAGAATGAACAAAAGAGAGGGAAAACACACATTTATATGCATTATTGTTACTGTTTTCTAAATACTGTACACTTTTTTTTTTAAAAGATTTTGTTTATTTGACAGACAGAGATCACAAGTAGGCAGAGAGGCAGGCAGAGAGAGAGAGGAGGAAGCAGGCTCCCTGCAGTGCAGAGAGCCCGATGTGGGGCTTGATCCCAGGACCCCGGGATCATGACCTGAGCCGAAGGCAGAGGCTTTAACCCACTGAGCCACCCAGACGCCCCTACGGTACACTTTTAAACGTGTCTACAGGGGCGCCTGGGTGGCTCAGTGGGTTAAACCCTCTGCCTTCAGCTCGGGTCATGATCCCAGGGTCCTGGGATCGAGCCCCGCGTCGGGCTCTCTGCTTGGCAGGGAGCCTGCTTCCCTTCCTCTCTCTCTGCCTGCCTCTCTGCCTACTTGTGATCCCTGTCTGTCAAATAAATAAATAAAATCTTAAAAAAAAAAACGTGTCTACAGTGAGAGTAATCCTGTTTATTTATTTATTTATTTAAATTGAGTGATAGTAAAATTTATTGAGCAATAGTATGAAGTTTCGAAAAAGGAGAGGGCCCAAGAGCGTTGCCTTAATCTTTTTTTTATTTTTTATTTTTATTTATTTATTTTTAAGATTTTATTTTTAAGTAATCTTTATGTCCAGTCTGGGGCTTGAACTCATAACCCCGAGATCAAGAGTCACATGCTCCACCAACTGAGCCACCAAGGTACCCCTAAATAATTAGGCAAAGTTTTATGCAAGTTTTTTTCTCTGTCACGTCATTTTAAATATGAAAAAACTGGAAATGCCAGGATGCCTTAAATGCCCACAATAGAGGGATGGTAAAGTCAAGTATGTTTATTTATAAAATACAGAATTTTAGGGGTCCCTGGTGGGTTCAGTCGGTGGAGTGTGCAACTCTTGTTCTCAGGACTGTGAGTTCGAGCCCCACGTTGGGTGTAGAGATAACTTAAAAAATAAATAACTAAAATAAAATATGGAATTTTATACTTTCCCTTAAAAAGCATGTTTATGAAAACTTTTTTGGCAGGGAAAATTTAGGTTATAATTATCGAAAAAGGATTGCAAAACTATATATGAAATATGACTGTATTATGTAAAGTTGGGCAATTATTTGAAGATGATAATGACATAAATCCCCACGACAATCACATATACACACCCATAAGAAGCAGCCTGGGAGAAGTACTCCAGGACGTGAAAGTGGGATCTGAATGACATAGAGTCAAACCCTGAGCTGTCACCAGCAGCTTGATGACTATGGGCTCGAGTCTTCAGTCTCAACCTCTCCGTGCAACCTCTCTGATTTTGCTTTTTTTTTTTTTAAGATTTATTTATTTATTTGAGAGAGAGAGAGAGAGAGAGCGATTGAAAGCAGTGGGAGGGGCAGAGGGAAAGAATCTCAGGCAGGCTCCCTGCTGAGCGTGGAGCCTGACCATGACCCTGAGATCATGACCTGAGCCCAAATCAAGAGTCAGATGCTAACTGACTGAGCCAGCCAGGCGCTCCAAGATTTACTTATTTTCTATTCTTTTTTAAAGATTTTATTTATTTATTTGACAGACAGATCTCAAGTAGGCAGAGAGGCAGGCAGAGAGAGAGGGGGAAGCAGGCTCCCGGTTGAGCAGAGAGCCCGATGTGGCGCTCGATACCAGGACCCTGAGATCATGACCTGAGCCGAAGGCAGAGGCTTTAACCCACTGAGCCACCCAGGTGCTCCTCCAAGATTTATTTTTAAGTCATCTCTACACCCAGCATGGGGCTCGAACTCAAAACCCTGAGATCAAGAGTCACCACAAGGTGCTCCTGTTTTTTCTTTTTTTCTAAACAACAACAACAACAACAGTAATAATAATAATAAAATCCTAACTCCCCTAAACATTGACATCAAAGTGTTTGGGATTTGGAGAATTCACATCAGTCCTTCATTCATGCTCTCCAGCATTAAGGATGCACCTATGGTGTACACAGGTGCTCTGGGAACCACATAGGAGCCTAAGAATATAAAACTGTGGCCCAGTCCGGGAGCTGAGGTGTCGCTTTGCTGTTCTTCCCAGGAAGAAGCAGTCAACTCCGGACCCCCAGGAAGGGCCCAGGGAGCTGCAAGTAGGCCGGGGTCAAGCCAAGCCAGGAAGTGAGCTGGGGGTGCTGCCTTCCAGGGTCCCTGCCACACAGGAAGGGAAGGAGACCGAGGACCAGCCGGGGAGACAGCAGAACCCAGGGACGGCGAAGGGTCAGGCCCTTCAGAGCCACCAGGTAATGTCCATGGAGACGTGGGGAGGAGGGTACAGAATGACTGCCCCACAGGGAAGACGAAGGAGCTTCCCCCATGCCCCACATTTTGGTACACTTGTGTCTACTTCTCTCCATTCCCTGGAGATGTCAAGTGTCCCGTCTCTGTGGGTCACTGGGATATTCTGGATATTCTTAATTGCAAGACTGTGTAACCTGTTTCCAGAGTGGCCCCACGGTATGTCAACGGATGCTGGAGGTGGTGGTGAGTGGAGGGGATCTGTTTACAAGAAAAATAGGGACATGCTGGATGTAACCACACTCAGTGGTTTTCTTTATGCTAGGATATCCTAGAAGCTGTTTCTTAGCCGCTGAGTGTTGTGGGACTTTGCAAGAGGTGGTTAGAGTTTGGTGCCTTTTTTAAGTTATTTGTCTACAAAATATCTTTTCATTTATTTTCATTTTAGGATTAATTCTTTTAAAGCTTCAGTGAGGTATCAGGAGTCTAGGTGGCTCAGTTAGCTAAGCATACAGCTCTTGGTTTCAGCTCAGGTCATGATCTCGGGGTCCTGGGATCAAGCCCTGCATCGGGCTCTGTGCTCAGAGCAGAGTCTGTTTGTCCCTCTTCCTCTCCATCCCATGCATGCTCTCTGTCTCAAATAAATAAATACAATCTTTAAAAAAAAGAGCTTCAGGGGTGCCTGGGTGGCTCAGTCCTTAAGCGTCTGCCTTCGGCTCAGGTTGTGATCCCAGGGTCCTGGGATGGAGCCCCACCTCAGGCTCCCCGCTGCTTCTCTCTCTCCCACTCCCCCTGCTTGTATTCTCTCTCTTGCTGTGTCTCACTCCCTCTGTGTCAAATAAATAAAATCTTAAAATAATTAAATAATAAATAAATGGCAAGCTTCAGTGATGTTTTGGACGCACATCGTCACCCCTGAAGCCGTCACCACCATCAAGAAAATAAACGTAGGGGTGCCTGGGTGGCTCAGTGGGTTAAAGCCTCTGCCTTCAGCTCAGGTCATGATCCTAGGGTCCTGGGATCGAGCCCCGCATCGGGCTCTCTCCTCGGCAGGGAGCCTGCTTCCTCCTCTCTCTCTGTCTGCCTCTCTGCCTACTTGTGATCTGTCAAATAAATAAATAAAATCTTTAAAAAAATGAAAAACACATTAAAAAATTTAAAAAATAAACGTATTTGTCACCCCCCCACCAAGTTTCCTCATGCCCCTTGTCATCCCTCCTCCCACCCACCCCCATCCCCAGGCCACCTCTAATCCACACTTGTTGCTACAGATTTGTTTGTAGTTCCTGGAATTTTACACAAACGGAAGGGGACAGGGTACATTTCTTCTGCCCAACTGCTTTCCCTCAGCACGATTATTTTGAGATTCACGCAAGCTCTTGTCTCAAAACATCCTCCTTTTTGACACGGAGTGATAGTCCAGGCCGCTGCACACATACACCTCCGTGTCTTCATCCTTTCACCTACCCATGGCCATATGGTTCCTTCTCAATTTTTGATTCTGAAAAAAACAAAAACAAAAACCAACTTCTGCAAATATTCGTGTCCGCAGGAGCAAAGGCTTTCATTGCTCTGGAGCAAATACCCCCTCAGCATAGAAGGGATCCTATGGTAGGTATATATGGCACTTACTGAGAAAATGCCAAAGTCTTCTCCAAAGCGGTTGTGCCATTTTCCAACCCCAGCAGAGGTATGAGAATTCCAGCTGAGCCACACCCTCCCCGACACTTGGTAGGGCCAGTCCTTAATTTTAAGTGTTCTAATAGGTGTCTAGTGGACTGTCATTGTGGCCTTAATTTTCCTTTTTTTACGTTTTTCTTTTTCTTCTTCTTCTTTTTTTTTTTTTGGACACAAAGAGCACAAGTGGGCAGAACAGCAGGCAGAGGGAGAGGGCTCCATCCCAGGACACTGGGATCGTGAACTGAGCCGAAGGCAGCTGCTTAGCCAACTGAGCCACCCAGGAGCCCCTAATTTTCCTGATGACAAATGATGTTGAGCATTTTTTTAAAAAAAATTTTGTATTTATTTGAGAGAGAAAGAACGAGAGGGAGGAGGGGCAGAGGAGGAGGGAAAGGCAGACTCCCCAGTAAGTGCAGGGAGCCCAAGAGGGGCTCGATCCCAGGACCCTGAGATCATGACTGGAGCCAAAGTCAGACACCCAACTGAATGAGCCACCCAGGCCGCCCCAATGTTGAACATTTTTTAATGTGCTTATAGGTCATTTGCATATCTTTTTTGGAGAAATGTCTATTCAAATACTTTGCCCATTGTTTTAATTGGATTGGTTATTTTATGGTTAAGTTGTAGGAGTTCTTTATATATTCTGGATACTAGTCTCTTATGAGATATAGGATTTACACACATTTTTTTTCTACCACTTTATGGATCATCTTTTTACTTTCTGCCTTTTAAAAAAAAATCAAGTTCTTTGCTTTCTTATTATTGAGTTTGGAAGTCCTTAGATATTCTGAATACAAATCCTTTATAAGATGTGATTGGTGAATGCTCTCCCCCAGGCTGTGCCTTGTCTTTTCCATTCTCTTAACAGAGATTTTCAAAGAACAGAAGTTCTGAATTTTGATAAGGCCTAATTTATCAATCTTTTCTTTAGGGCTCGAGTTTCTGATGTTATTTCTTGCACATCTTTGCTTAACCCAAGATCACGTCAGATTTTCTCCTATGTTTTCTTCAAGAAGTTTTATAATTTTAGGCTTAATATTTTTTAAAAAGATTTTATTTATTTATTTGACAGAGAGAGAGAGAGAGAGAGCACGAGGAAGGGGAGTGGCAGGCAGAGGGAGAGGGAGAAGCATAGATCTCTTATAGATCAGAGGGAGCCCGATGTGGGGCTCGATCCCAGGACCTCGGGATCATGATCTGAGCCGAAGGCAGACCCTCAACCCACTGAGCCCAGGCGCCCTAATATTTAAATTTATGATCCATCTTGAGTTAATTTTTGTGCACGGCATGTTGGATCGTGGTTTGGTTTTTGGCCTGTGGCCATCCAACCATTCTAGCGCCATTTGTTGAAGACTCCCCTTTCCCTACGCACCTTTGCTGCAAATCAGTTGAGCTCTGTGTAAGTCGATTTCTGGGTTCTTTGTTCCACTCATCTAATTATCTTTATTCCAATACCACCCTGTCCTGATCATAAGTCACTTTACAGTAAGTCTTGAAATCAGTTAACATACCCCTTTTTTAGGGAGCGTACAAGAAGGATTCTTGTACTTTGAACATTCCTTGGGAAATACCAAGGAGTTTGGGATTTAAAGGGAACCATCTCAGTTCCTCCAGGATCCCCTTCTGTGCCACAGAGAAGCATGGACCATGACTTTGGGTAGGCTGTGACTCCTGTGGGCTTCAGTGTCCTCATCCCTGAAAATGAGGCTTTGCTACTTCTAGGGGTGCTGAGAGCACTCAGTGAGAGAACACTCGCAGTGTCTGGATCACAGTAAGCCTGGGATGACCGGCTTCCAGGCCAGCGTTGAGGGTCACCTGGGAGCCAGGCTCAGGCTGCTCATTTTGGTGTCTTGTCCTCGGCAGGGCCAGGAGTGTCAGCCCATCCCAGGTCACCAGGCAACTCATGGGGCAGACATAGTGCAGCCAGTGGGAACTTCTTGCACCTTGGACAGCTGTGGGCGGCCACGGGGAGACAAGCTCTCCAAGGAGTTGGACACCCCCCACATCAGGCCACAGGAGGACATTTCCCAGGAGGCAGTGCCCCTGATACCCTTGGCAAGTCCAGAGGAAAAGACGGCCAACTCCTTCCCACCATCCACGCCAGAACCTGACCCACCCACAGGAAGGTAAGCCATCCTCTGATGCCCTCCCCTACCTGACCCCCTGACCCAACAAGATCACACTTCTGTTAAGTTACAGGTGAGGTGAATTTTAGCTCCTGACCTGATGTGGGACCTTGGGCAAGCCATGCCCCTCTGGGCCTCAGTTTCCCCATCTGTAGGATACTTCTAACACCAGAATTCTTTGTTCTGCAAACCTGTACTTTAAGAGCCTTGTCCCAACATGGGGATGTGAGGGAATGAGGGGTCCCTCTGAGATTATGCAGCTAGAGAGATGAGGCTGGGGTAGTGGGTGTGAGTGTCCTGGGGGCTGAGGGAAGGTCAGTGCAGAGGATGAGCCTTGCACTGAGCCGCTCTGCCACCCCAGGGTCTCTTCCTTGTTTAGGGTCAAGGCTGTGGAGACCCAACCAGCAACAGGGCCTGTTCCTGCACTGGTAAGTAGAGCCGGAGTTGGGGTGGGGAGGGCACCTGCCGGGAATCAGGAGGAGGAAGGAGACAGAGGAGGGACTGGGCTGGTATCTGGAATCCAACTGGGGAAGGTGTGAGTGAGCCTGTGTGTCTGTGTGAGTGTGCACACGGATGTGCACACGGATGTGTGTTTGCATGTGTGCGTGCACACGTGTGTGCATCTTGGGCGGGGGACAAAGGATGCCCTTAGACTCTGGAGCTTGGAAACAGGAGCAGAACCCTTGGCTGGTAGCTGGTAGCTGATGGGGTTTGTCAGGGGAGGTTTTTTTTTTTTTTTAAGGTATTTATTTATTTATTTATTTGACAGACAGAGATCACAAGTAGGCAGAGAGGCAGGCAGAGAGAGGAAGGGAAGCAGGCTCCCTGCTGAGCAGAGAGCTCAATACCGGGCTTGGTTCCAGGACCAAGGTCAGGGACCTGGGATCAGACCCTGAACCGAAGGCAGAGGCTTTAACCCACTGAGCCACCTAGGTGCCCCTGGGGGTGATTTTAGTTGGACGAAAGGTAATATAGCATGTTTCTGCTGATGGACAAAATAGAGCTGGTGCTTTAGGGACAAAAGCTGCATCACATGTGGGACAAAGGGCTGGGCAGGGGTGTGCACGCTGGAGGTGGGCTGGGGATGACCCGTCCCTGTCATAGGAGGGACAGAAGCAGGAGATGGCTAGATTTGTCGGATGAATGAGTGGGCGTTTATTTTTTATTTTTTTTTAAAGATTTTATTTATTTATTTGACAGAGAGAGATCACAAGTTGGCAGAGGCAGGCAGAGAGAGAGAGAGAGGAGGAAGCAGGCTCCCCATTGAGCAGAAAGCCTGATGCGGGGCTCGATTCCAGAACCCTGGGATCATGACCTGAGCCTAAGGCAGAGGCTTTAACCCACCGAGCCACCCAGGCGCCCCAATGAGTGGGCGTTTATTAAGTGCCTGCCATGTGTCGTCCCTGGGTAGTCATGGATAAAGGAGGCAGACAAGGTCCTGCTCATATGAAGCTTACCTTCTGGTCAGGTCGGCAAACAACAGGTCATTGACAAGACCACTGAGGCTGTGCTGATCCCAGGGACAGAAATAAATGAAAGGTTGGGCAGGGAGTGACTTACTCAAGCCCCCCAGGCTCACAGTGCTGGAAGCAGGGGGATCCAAGGTCAAGTGCAGGGAGGAGCCTCGTGGGGTGCATAGGAGATTTGGAGGGCTTCGTCCAGGGGCCCAGAGAGAAAGAGCACTGAGAGGTTGCCCTGGAGGGTGAAGGGCAGGAGAAGCTCTGTAGGACAGTCTGGCTGGATTCCCTCTCCTGTGCTGTCCCCAGGAGGTGAGGGGCACTGGAGAGAGGAGGGATCTGGACCCTGTGCAGAAGCAGCCTCGGGAGCCCACGGTGGCTGTCGGGGCCCAGAACCTTGGGAGCCTTCGGCAGGGCTTCATGAAGTGCTTGCTGGAGGTGGAGGAGGAGGAGGTCACACATCGGAGGGCTGCCAAGGCCCGGGCCCTGCCAAACCGGAAGTCCCCCAGGACCCTGACCCCCGTGCCCTCCTCGGCCCCAAGCCTGCCTCTGACCCTGCCTCAGACCCCCGCCTCGGCCCCTGCGATGGCCCCTTCCTGGGCCCGGTCGCCAGCCCCGGGGCCCGGCCCCGTCCCCGCCCCTGTGGGATCCCCGGTCCCGGCCTCAGGGCTGGTCACAGCCCTGCCGGCCCCCACCCTGGACGCGGGCTGGAGAAGGGCAGAACTCTTGCACCCGAGTGGAGAGAGGAGCCTAAGCAGCACCAAGACACGGTAGGAGTCACCCCCAAAATAGAGCGCCCGAGGTCAGAGCTGGTGTCCCAGGGTCCCTGGCATCTTTCTTCTAGACTCTCGTCCCTGTCACCGCACCTGTTCCCTCTCTTCATTTCTCACTTCTGCTCTCCCACCCCCATCCCCATTTCTGCCAACTTTTCTCTTTCTAATCTAAGTCCCTCTAAGGGACACGGAGGCGTGTGCCTTCCCCTCATGTCCCCTCACTCCTGCCTCCTCCTCCCCAGGGTCACTCAGACTCTCCTGACCTCCCAAAGCCTCCCCCAGGGTCCTTCCCATGCCCTCCTCTGCCCCACCCTCCCCCCTTGCCCTCCCCTAGCTTCTGGGGTTGGCCCCGGGCAAGGGTGACTGGATGTGTGCCCTGTGTCTGGGGTCTGTCCTCCGTAGGCAGGAGCTGGAGGAGCGCGGCCTCCTCAAGCTGTACCAGAGCTGGGATGAAAGGTTCGAGGAGCATCTCACCCTGAGGCAAGAGGAAGGTGAGGGCTGGCCTGCACAGGGAAGCCCCTCCCGTGGCAGGAGTCTCAGTCCTGGGGGGATGGGGTGCTCCAGACCACACCGCTGACCTGATGCCCACCGCAGCCCTGTGTTCTGGGCCAGGGGGAGACTTCCTGGCTAGGGAGACAGTGCGGGGTGGCAGCTGGCCATGGGAATCTGAGTCCCTGCTGAGTCCCTCTTCCTTGGGGTCTAGTCCTCTTCTGGAACTGCCTCCCTGAGTAAACAGATCAAGCCCAGCAAGGTTCTTCAAGCTTGGGGGCATTTCTGCCTCCCTTCATCCAAGCCCCTCTGCGGGTCCTCTGGAGGCCGCTTGGATGGGAGGCAGGGTTCTAGGGCCCCCCATCTGCCCTAGACCATCCCTCACCATTTAACAAGACCAGTTGCCCTGGACAAGTCCCATTTCCTGCCACATCCCATCCCCTCCAAAAAGTTTTAAAGTTCTGAACACCCACCTGGGGGAGGCCCTGGGCCCCACGACTCCACTGGCCACGAGAGGGAGGAGGAGGGAGTGCTGACTCCGTGAGCTCCACGGGTTTCCTGCAGCCCCGCTACACCCCGCCCCAGCCCCAGAAGAGCACGGATCAGTCCTCCCTCCACCCTTCACTCCTCCCCCAAATCTGTGTCCCTCTCCACTGGCCCCTTCTGATTTCCCTGAATGCCCTCTCCAGTTCCCCATGACCGCTTCCTGGGCGCTCGTTCCTTCTAGCATTACAACTCTCTAGCCATTTTCAAAAAGGCCCTTCTGCCCCACATCCTTGAGCAGAGTTCACGGACAAGGTGCTGCCGTGGCTTAGAGACGCGGGCTTTCCACCATGCCCAGCAGCCCTGTCTGGCTGTTCTGCTCACATGGTCCAAACCACGGGGCATTTTGCCCATGCCTACTTTTAAGAGCTGTTCTTGTCTTTGCCCCCTTTTTTTTTTGGCATGCCTGCCTTTGGAGGGTCACCACTCACCCCAACCCTAGCTCCCTAGTTCTCCCTCTGTCCTCATCTCAGTTCTGTGTGTCAGACTTCAGAGTCTCTTACGTGCCTGACACTGGATGAACACAACTGCTCTTGGAGGATGTACCGTTCTGTCCATCTCACAGATGAGAAAATCGAGTCTCAGAGAAGTGTGGTGGCTTGCCTGTGGCAGTTGTATGGTTTGCTTGGGCTGCTGTAACACAGTATCACAGACGGGGTAGCTGAGCATTTCTTTGCTCAGAGCTCAGGAGGTCGCAGGAGGTGGTAAACCAAGCAGATCTCAGATCAAGGTGGTAGCAGAAGCGGTTTTTTTTGAGGCCCCTCGCCTCGCCTTGCAGGTGGCTGCCTGTACCCTCCTGTGTCCTCATGTGGTCTCATGTGGCCTTTCTCCTCTGTGCACACACATCCCTGCTGTCTCTCGTGTTTCTGCATTTCCTTTTCTTGTAAGGACACCAGTCGGACTGGAATCGGGCCCATGCTACTATCTCATTTTAACTCAACCACCTCTTTAAAGGCCCTGTCTCTAAATACAGTCCCATGCTAACATCCTGGGAGTCAGGGCTTCAACATAAGAGTTTCAGTGGGATGCAGTTCAGGCCAAAGCAGCCACCGAGCTTATTATTAAAGGGCAGACCCAGCCCCCTCCCTCGGTCTGTTGATTCTGCCGACATTTGGCTGTGGGCTGAGAAGTCAGGTGCAGGTTTTGGTATCAAGCTATCCTGGAAAGCACGTCCATGCGGATAAGTGACCACAGAGCCCCAAAGTCAAAGGCACAGACTTAAGGGTCAGAAAGACCTACCTGGTCACCTAATCTTTAAGCTTCAGTTTCCCTATTGGGACAAAAGAAACAAGCATCCCACTCTTAGGAGGCCGTTGTAAGACTTTAATGAGAACGTGGCCGTGAAGAGCCTAGCACAGTGCCTGGCACATAGCAGGGGTGCCCTAAGGTGGCTGTGCTCCTGGCACAGAGTGAAGGTCATTGTGGAGCGTAGGTGTCGGCACACCCGCTGAGACCTTGGCCTGACCTTGGGATAGAGAGTGGAGTGAGTTAGTGGGACTGTGCCTTCCACTATGGCTGTTTCAGCTGCCCCTGCCCCTCCACCCAGCCACGGTGGAGAGGTAAAGGATGCTGGGCAGGAGGGTGGTTGGAAGGTGGGGGCGTTGGATGGTGGGAACAAGGCGTGTTCCCGCCTCACGTGACCCCCACCGCCCCACCGCAGCCTTCCGCAGTTACTTTGAGATCTTCAATGGCCATGGCGAGGTGAACGCACAGAGCCTGGGTAACATCCTGCTGCTTGTGGGCATCTCCCTCACGCCGGCTCAGGTACAGGACGCCCTGAGGAGCGCTGACATCGATGGTGAGTGACGGGAGGCGCCATTCTGAGTCCCAGGCAGGGCCAGCAACGGGAGACCTTTCTGGCCCTGCAGGCCTCCACGCTGCAAGGGGCCTGCACTTGGTTTAATGCTCCGCTGTTGCAGTCTGGAAATTCTTCATAAATTTTTGAGTGAGGGACCCCATCCTGCATTTTTATTTTCCACTGGAGCCCCTCGCGCTGGCCCCCCAGAGTTAATGCTCTCTGAGCACCTACTCAGCACTGGGTTCTGGGCACCTGGAGATGGCCATGACCTATCTCCTGACCCTAGGATGTAGGTGGTGTCTGAGATACCTCCCTTTTAGGCCTGTGTGTGTGCTTCGTGGGACCTTCTCCCATGACCGGGTCACTCATTTGACCAGCTGTGTGACCTTGGACAAATCAGTGAAGTTGGCCAGGCCTCGGTTTCCATACAATGGGGCTGATAGCATCCATCTCAGCAGGCTGCTGGAAAGCAAATGAGATAATCCAGGCAGAGCATTGAGCCCAATGCCTGGTGCACAGAATGTATTTATAAGACATTGAGCTGTTAGTGTTCGTCATCCAGGAAATATTTATTAAGTACCCACTGTGTGCGCCTTCCTGATCTGGGCACTGAGAATAAAGAGATGGGTAAGGCCCATGAGCCCTGCCCCCGAGGTGCTCACAGAGACAGGGACACAGAAGAGTCACCAAAGGAAGCAGCACTTCAGGTGGCTTAGAGGGAGGGATCAGGAAGGAAGACTTCCTGGAGGAGGTGATGACTGAGCCAAATCGTGAAAGATTAAATAGCGGTTAGGCAGGGAGGGAAGAAAAAAGGGCATCCTTCGTGATAGAAATAAAAGAGACAAAGGGAGGAGGATACAGGGTGAGGGGAATTCCACATGGTTTGGTTGGCTAGATGCAGGGCGTGGGGAGCCGTGGATCTATAAGGGGCCTGGGCTCCTGGCCACTACCGGTCCGGCTCTGCTTCCTCCATCACTGCACAGGGGCGAATCCACACACACAAGCCAGGAACCACCTTAGCTCTGCCCCTATGTGACTCTTGGCAAAAGCATCCTTTTTCTCTATGCCTCAGGCCCCATCTGTGATGTGGGGATAAGAGTATTAGGCACCTCCAGAGGGTGGTTTTCAGGATTAGAGACCATTTATTCATTTGTCTAGTAGCTCAGGAAACATCTGCTAAGACTTGTCTGTCTTTTTTTTTTTTTTTTTTAGTTTTTATTTATTTAGGGAATCTCTACCCCAAATGTGGGGCTCAAATTCAAAACCCTGAGATCAAAAGTCACATGTTCCTCTGGACTGAGCCAGCCAGGTGCCCCCCAAACCTACCTGTCTTAAGCCCTGAGGACGCAGTGCAGAACAAAACAGACCCTTTTGGCATCTCCATTAAATTCCAGATCTTACGAGTGTGTGGTTGAAACACAGGGTTTTATGAGAATGTGTAGTGGGGCAGCTGACGCGGTCAGGTCTGACTTCTCTTGGGGAAGGGATGATCAAGAAGAAGCACGGGTAGGATGTTTACTAAAGAGTTAGAGGGCAGTAGAGAAGATTCCAGGAAGAGGAAGCAGCATGTGCAAAGGCCCGGAGTAGGGAACGTGGCCCCAGTGGAAGAACAGGTTCATGCTGGGGGCCCTTGGCACCAGGTAAGACTGGAGACAGGTAATAGGCAGGTCCTGCAGGGCCTTGAAGGCCGAGGTGGGAATCTTGCGGGTACCTAATTCTCATGCAGCGACTAGCACGTGGTAACAACACAACGACAGTTGCTGACATTTACTGAGCTTGTATAATACCCGGCTCTGTTCTAAGCACTTTGCTTCATTTGGTCTCCCATGAGATAAGTATTATGGTTATCCCCACTCTCTAGGTAAGAAAGCTAAGGCTTAGAGGGATTGGGGGCTTTGCCAAGGTCACACAGATAGTAAGTGGTGGACCAGGGATGGGAACTCAGACTGCTGCCCTTAGTTCTAGAAGCTTCCAGCCCAGGCACCCCTAATTTTCACCTTCTACTTTGCTGTGTGCACCGCACTTGCTGCATTGAATATGTGTCGTCTTTGTGTTTTATAATCAAACCTATTGAGTACATGCTAACATGCCCGGCCTGCAGTGCCTGAGCCCACTCTGGCAGGCCCTTGCCCACTGTTATACCCCTGGCCTCCACAGGAGATGGTCATGTAGGCTTCAAGGACTTCTTAGCTGTGATGACAGACACCAGGCGCTTCTTCTGCTCTGTGGGTGAGTAGGGGTGAGCCCAGAGGAGTCAGAGCTCAGGGAGGGGCCTGGTGGCTGGTGGGGCCAGTTGGCCTCCGGAACTATGGTATGGTAACAGCAGACATCTTCCCATGTCCCCAGAGCAGAATGCCCTGACGGACATGGCTCCTCCAAACCCCCACACTCTGCTCTTTGAGATCCTGTCCCTGCTGGTGGAGATGCTGGCCTTACCGGAGGCGGCCTTAGAGGAGATCACCAAGTGAGTGCGGCCGGTGGTTGTGGGTGGAGGGTGACAGACACAGAAATGGCATCTGGTATTTTGGCAGCTGAGGAATTTTCATAGTTAGAACTCTTAGTTGCAAGTGAAAGGCACCCCAATAAAATTGGCTTAAGCAAAAGGGGAATATATTGGCTCACATAATGGATCATGGCCTCAGGAATGGCTGGATCCAGGAGATCAGATGATACTCTTAAGGTTTTATCTCTCCTTCTCATCTCTGTACCATGGTTTCAAGCTCAACTAGGTCGGGGCACCTGGGTGGCTCAATCGGTTAAGCCTCTGCCTTCAGCTCAGGTCATGATCTCAGGGTGCTGGGATTAGGCCTCATGTTGTGCTCTCTGCTCAGTGAGGAGTCTGCTTCTCCCTCTCCCTCAGTGGGAAGGATGGCAACTGGCAGCCCCATACTCACACCCGCCTAGCTGAACCAATTCAACAGCAAGAGCTTTCTTGCAGTACCCAGAGAACAATGTCAGAACGGGTATGTGATAGACACTGCCTGGAGCCAGGGAACGCTAGAGATGAAAGCCTCCCCATGTTTCCAGACTGGGCTGGGTGGAGGTGGTGGTTACTGGTTCATCTAAGGAAGGAATGGCTACGCACAAAAGGAACTTCAACATTCCAAGGCTAAAAGCAAAATGTGATGGCAGAACAGCCCAGCTGGTCTCTCTGTGTATCACACAGAGGACTGTCCCTGCCACTGAGACCAGGCCTTGTCCACATGGGCCCAGAGGTAGGGGAATGACAGCAAGTTGTTCCAGCAACACCAGCTCAGGAACCCCAAAGACAAAAGGTCTTTTTTCCTCCCAGCATCTGTAAATCACTCTAAATATATATAACTCTAAAGAACATAAATGTATAATTTTATTTTTTAATTTTTTTTTAAATTATGTATTTGTCAGAGAGAGAAAGAGCACAAGAAGGGGGAGAGGCAGGCAGAAGGAGAAGCAGGCTCCCCACTGAGCTAGGAGCGTAAATGTATAATTTTAGAAACAATAAAACAAATTCCCATGTGTCCATTTCCCCAGTTTAAAAATAGATCATTTCCAATAATCTGGAAGCCCTGTGTGCCCTACCCCAATCAGATCTCCCCAGATAAGAACTAACCATTATTCTCTTGCTTTCTTTTTTAAACTTTCACTACTTGTTTTTCCCTTTGCTTACTGAAAATTTCAAATATACAGCAAAGTTGAGAGAATATCACAGTGAATGTTTATATATTCACCAACCAGATCCTACCATTGCCAATCCGCCATGCTTGTTTTCATCTTGTATCTACCTAACCTTTTTTCATCAATACATATCAGTTTTTTTATTCATTTCACAATAATTGATAGTCATTTCCTTCTAAATACTTCAGCATACAGGGACGCCTGGGTGGCTCAGTTGGTTGAGCAGCTGCCTTCGGCTCAGGTCATGATCCCATAGTCCTGGGATCGAGTCCCGCATCGGGCTCCTTGCTTGGCGGGGAGCCTGCTTCTCCCTCTGCCTCTGCCTGCCATTCTGTCTGCCTGTGCTCGCTCGCTCTCCCTCTCTCTCTGACAAATAAAATCTTAAAAAAAAAAAAATAAATAAATAAATAAATAAATACTTCAGCATACATATCAATAACTAAAGATTGACATTTGTTTAGAGCTTTTTTCTTCTTTTTCGTTATTGGAGGTATAATTTACATTCAGTGAAACACACAAATCATCAGTCCGTGAATCTCAGCCACTTCTCACACCCGGGGAACCTGAACCCCTCTCAAGTCATACACAACTTTGCCATTACTCCCGAAGATGCCCTCATCATCCTTCCCAGTGGGTTTCCGAACCCACCCCTGCAAGGCAATCACTCTTCCAGTTTGTTTTCCATCCCAGATTGACTTCGCTTTTTTGGCAACTACACATCAGTGGAAACATACAGTATGCAGCCCTAGGGTCAGCTTCTCGAACTCAGCACAAGGCTTCTGAGACTTGTCTGTGTCGTTGGGGGTGTCAGGGTTGACCCGTTTCTACTGCTGACCAGTGTTCCACTCGTGAATCTACCACAGTTGGTTCATCCATTCTGATGGGTCTCTCCATGGTTCTCGGTGCGGGGTTATCATGAACAAAGCTGCCATTAGTATTTTTATGTAAGTCCTTCTGCGGACACATACTTTGGCTTCTTTGGGTGAATATGCAGAAGGGAATTGAGGGCAGATGTATTTTACTTCTGAGAACTCATCAGACCTTTTCCCAAGTGGTTGCACCATTTTACAATCCCACCATTCGTAGGAGAGTTCCAGTTGCTCTACATCTTGTGCAAATTTGGTACTGTCGGTCTTCCTTCTGGTAGATACGGAGTGGCGCTCTGGTCTTTACTCACCTTCGTTTGTATTCCTGAGTACTTTGTTGTTTACCTTTTCATAAACTTTCTTTTTTTAAAAAAGATTTTATTTATTTATTTGACAGACAGAGATCACAGTAGGCAGAGAGGCAGGCAGAGAGAGAGAGGGGGAAGCAGGCTCCCCGCTGAGCAGAGAGCCCAATGTGGGGCTCAATCCCAGGACCCTGGGATCATGACCTGAGCTGAAGGCAGAGGCTTAACCCGCTGAGCCACCCAGGCGCCCCGCTTTTCATAAGCTTTCTATGAGTGGACTCATACTGTGTTAAGTCTTTTGTTACTTGTTTTTATGATTCATTCACATTCTTGTAATTATCAATCATTTATTGTTCTAGGGGCACCTGGGTGGCTCCATGGGTTAAAGCTTCTGCCTTCGGCTCAGGTCATGGTCTCAGGGTCCTGGGATAGAGCCCCGCATTGGGCTCTCTCCTCGGCAGGGAGCCTGCTTCCTCCCCCCTCTCTCTCTGCCTGCCTCTCTGCCTACTTGTGATCTCTCTCTCTCTGTTTCAAATAAATAAATAAAAAATCTAAAAAAAAAAATTTTTAATGAAAAATATAGTTTCCAGGGGCGTCGGGCGGCTCAGTCGGTTAAAGCCTCTGCCTTCGGCTCAGGTCATGATCTCAGGGTCCTGGGATCGAGGCCCACATCGGGCTCTCTGCTCAGCGGGGAGCCTGCTTCCTCCTCTCTCTCTCTGCCTGCCTCTCTGCCTACTTGTGATCTCTGTCTGTCAAATGAATAAATAAAAATCTTTAAAAAAAATATTTTCTTTCGGGCGCCTGGGTGGCTCAGTGGGTTAAGCCGCTGCCTTCGGCTCAGGTCGTGATCTCAGGGTCCTGGGATCGAGTCCCGCATCGGGCTCTCTGCTTGGCAGGGAGCCTGCTTCCCTCTCTCTCTCTCTCTGCCTGCCTCTCCGTCTACTTGTGATCTCTCTCTGTCAAATAAATAAATAAAAATCTTTAAAATAAAAAAAAAAAAATATTTTCTTTCTGGGGACCTGGGTGGCTCAGTTGGTTAAGCGTCCGCCTTCGGCTCAGGTCATGATCCCAGGATCCTGGGAACAAGCCCCACATTGGGCTTCCGGTTCATCGGGAAGCCTGCTTCTCCCTCTTCGACTCCCTCTGCTTGTGTCCCCTCTCTCGCTGCGTCTCTCTCTGTCAAATTAAAAAAAAAAATCTTAAAAAAATATTTTCTTTCTTTTTAGAGAAAGAGAGAGCAGGGGGAGGGGCAGAGGGGGAAGGAGAGGAAGGGGGAAAGAATCCCAAGCAGACTCCCATACTGAGCAGAGAGCCGGACTCGGGGCTTGATGTCATGATCCTGAGATCAGGTTCATCTTGAGATGAACCCAAGAGTCGGACGCTCAACCGACCGTGTCAGCCAGGTTCCCCTGTACTCCTTTATTTATTTTTTTAAGTTTATTTATTTAAGCACACTCTACATCCAGCATGGGGCTCAAACTCAAGAGCCTCACAGTCTACGGACTGAGCCAGCCAGAAGTGCTTGTACTCTTAAATGTAAGAGTCTATTGGTCTATCTTGTAGTTTAAATGGCCCTTCTCCCACAAATGTTTTGGTAACGTGCATTGGTCATATGGAAAATACTGCATATCTCCCAGGTGTTAGCACATTTCATTTTAATTGGTATATGTATATTTATATCTATATACACTATATATAGCTAGTATATATATACTATAACACTATATTAATTAGTATAGATATACTACGATATTATAATTAATATCACCACTAATATCAGGAAAGTCTTTAAGTATTAGAAGTGCTGTGTGTGGCTATAGTTTATTCATTTTCACTACTATAAAGTATTTTGTATAAGGACATGTATATGCCCATGTTGATGGATTTAAGTTTCCCAAAAGTCTAACTTTTTCCTGAAAGCTTTAATTTGATCAGAGGCAAAAAATGCTGTCAGTTGTTCTCCTTGAAATGACAGGCTAACTTCGTCTACTTTTAGAGAAATATCCACTGAAAACCAAAGGCTGAATAACCATGGTTTCTCCTTCGTTCAAATAAAAATGTCATTCGATGTCCAGGAAAGGAAAAACTGTCCATTACTCTCTCAGAATTTCCAACTGGAACAGACATAAGATAGACGAATAGGGGGGATGCCTGCCTGGCCGGCTCCGTCAGTAGACCATGCAATTCTTGATCTCAGAGTCGTTAGTTCAAGTCCCACATTGGGTGTAGAGATCATTTAAATAAAGAAAGAAAACTTAAAAAAAAAAGATAGATGAACAGGAGAAAAGCATATGAATCTTATTTACACATACCTGGGCACCCTAACAAGAAAAAGAAGACCCAAAGAAATGACTCGGCCTGAGTGTTTCTATCCTAGGTTGAACAGAGAGTAGTGAATGTGGAGTAGTAGTGAAACTATACAGGCAGACTAAGGGAAGATAAGAGTTACTTTAACGAGGTTTATTACAGAGTTCTCTCAGCCAAGGCTCTGCATCTCTTATAATAAGAATGTTTCTAACTGGGGCGCTTGGGTGGCTCAGTCAATTAAGTGTCTGCCTATGGCTCAGGTGGTCCTGGGATCCTGCCCAGCAGGGAGCCCGATGTGGGGCTCTATCCCCAGGACCCTGGGATCATGACCT